ATGAGATCTCTGAAAGGGAGCCGTACAAATTAGATTTCTGAAAGGGGGCCGCACAAATGAGATTTTTGAAAGGGGGCCACACAAATGAGATTTTTGAAAGGGGGCACAAAAATGTCACTTCAATAGAAGGCCTAAAAAGGGACATTACTAAAAGGAGGCCTCACAACAAGTCATGATGAAGGGTTTCAAAGCATTGTATCCTAGAGTAATCCTTAAACTAAGAAGTTACTTAAAGGAGGTCTGGTAAAGTGACTTAAAGGAGGTCTGGTAAAGTGACTTAAAGGAGATCTGGTAAAGTGACTTAAAGGAGGTCTGGTAAAGTGACTTAAAGGAGATCTGGTAAAGTGACTTAAAGGAGATCTGGTAAAGTGACTTAAAGGAGGTCTGGTAAAGTGACTTAAAGGAGATCTGGTAAAGTGACTTAAAGGAGATCTGGTAAAGTGACTTAAAGGAGGTCTGGTAAAGTTAATTAAAGGAGGTCTGGTAAAGTGACTTAATGGAGGTCTGGTAAAGTGACTTAAAGGAGATCTGGTAAAGTGACTTAAAGGAGGTCTGGTAAAGTGACTTAAAGGAGGTCTGGTAAAGTGACTTAAAGGAGGTCTGGTAAAGTGACTTAAAGGAGGTCTGGTAAAGTGACTTAAAGGAAGTCTGGTAAAGTGACTTAAAGGAGATCTGGTAAAGTGACTTAAAGGAGGTTTGGTAAAGCGACTTAAAGGAGGTCTGGTGAAGTGACTTAAAGGAGATCTGGTAAAGTGACTTAAAGGAGATCTGGTAAAGTGACTTAAAGGAGGTCTGGTAAAGCGACTTAAAGGAGATCTGGTAAAGTGACTTAAAGGAGGTCTGGTAAAGCGACTTAAAGGAGGTCTGGTCAAGTTACTTAAAGGAGATCTGGTGAAGTTACTTAAAGGAGATCTGGTAAAGTGACTTAAAGGAGATCTGGTAAAGTGACTTAAAGGAGATCTGGTAAAGTGACTTAAAGGAGATCTGGTAAAGTGACTTAAAGGAGGTCTGGAAAAGTGACTTAATGGAGGTCTGGTAAAGTGACTTAAAGGAGGTCTGGTAAAGTTACTTAAAGGAGGTCTTGTAAAGTGACTTAAAGGAGGTCTGGTAAAGTGACTTAAAGGAGGTCTTGTAAAGTGACTTAAAGGAGGTCTGGTAAAGTGACTTAAAGGAGGTCTGGTAAAGTGACTTAAAGGAGGTCTGGTAAAGTGACTTAAAGAAGGTCTGGTAAAGTGACTTAAAGGAGGTCTGGTAAAGTGACTTAAAGGAGATCTGGTAAAGTGACTTAAAGGAGATCTGGTAAAGTGACTTAAAGGAGGTCTGGTAAAGTTAATTAAAGGAAGTCTGGTAAAGTGACTTAATGGAGGTCTGGTAAAGTGACTTAAAGGAGATCTGGTAAAGTGACTTAAAGGAGATCTGATAAAGTGACTTAAAGGAGGTCTGGTAAAGTGACTTAATGGAGGTCTGGTAAAGTGACTTAAAGGAGGTCTGGTAAAGTGACTTAATGGAGGTCTGGTAAAGTGACTTAAAGGAGATCTGGTAAAGTTACTTAAAGGAGGTCTGGTAAAGTGACTTAAAGGAGGTCTGGTAAAGTGACTTAAAGGAGGTCTGGTAAAGTGACTTAATGGAGGTCTGGTAAAGTGACTTAAAGGAGATCTGGTAAAGTGACTTAAAGAAAGTTTGGTAAGGTGACTTGAAGGAGGTCTGGTAAAGTGACTTAAAGGAGGTCTGGTAAAGCGACTTAAAGGAGGTCTGGTCAAGTTACTTAAAGGAGATCTGGTGAAGTGACTTAAAGGAGGTCTGGTCAAGTGACTTAAAGGAGGTCTGGTAAAGTGACTTAAAGGAGGTCTGGTAAAGTGACTTAAAGGAGGTCTGGTAAAGCGACTTAAAGGAGGTCTGGTCAAGTTACTTAAAGGAGGTCTGGTAAGAGACAGGAGTATTTAACTAGCGGATTGTTCTCAAGGATATATCAGAACATCACTGTAATCAATGCTAAGACAAAAATTATTTCTTCACTGCTGTTAGAGTAAGTTGTCTTTAAAACCAGAGATTCTCCCATTCAGCCAGCAAGTATACAAATTGGAAGTCCTATACAGATGCAGTGCTAGGTATCATGGTTTCACTGCATGGTCTCCAGGCTTATAATGTGTGTGGGATGTTTTTTTTGATTTGATGTCTTTAGAACATTATTGATCTGGTCATTAATGAGACAGAGGACTGTGAATTGATGACAAGGAAGTGATTGAAAACTCCCGACCTCGTTAGTCATAAAACGATGATGAGGGGGCTAGTATTTATGTCGTCCTGGTATCTCGAAGGTTTATGTTGATTAAAGGAATATTTTGTGCTACAGCATTTAGTTTTTCATTATAAACCCTATAGTGTTCACAATGAAAGATCATTCTCTTATAAGGTTGTTTTTTAAATTCTCGAAATCGAATTTGAGAGAAATGTTACAGTTCGGTCCACTATTGTCAGAGAAATTTTATATATTGGTCCACTGTTGTTAGAGAAATGTTACAAATTAGTCCACCGTAGTTAGAGAAATGATACAAATTAGTCCACCATAGTTCGAGAAATGTTATATATTGGTCCACTATTGTCAGAGAAATGTTACATATTGGTCCACTATTTAATCCATCAGTGCCATCTCTTTTTACCAAGCCCACATTTATTTCAGTCTAAGCTTGCTTAAAGTATTGATGCATATCTTTTACAAGTACATTATTTATTTAAAATACCTGTTCATTTCATTACTAAGTTGTCTTTGGTCAGAAAACAGGACAAATTTTGCATTGATCGTAACAAGTTCAAAAGAAATCTTGGAACATTTAATGAATGACCCAATTTCTCTCTTGTTAATTAGATTTTTATGGTTGGATATAGACTAATATCCCACTGCAAAAATATTGGTCGCACAAATTGTCCGACCAGAAAAAGACTGTTCACATGAAAAAATAGATATGGTCAAGAAGATCAGCAAGTTTGACCAGTTCATTAATTCTGACCATTAGTCTAAAATAATGTCAAGTATGTGCATGAATTGTCCGGATAGTTTGTGGTGCTTGGTGTATATAGAATTGTCCGTAGTTCGTGGTGCTTGGTATATATGGAATATTTAACGCCTTGGATGTCACCATTTATTCCTTCTGTGTCGTATTGTCTCTCAAGGGTTATAAATAAGATTTGGTTAGACCCGGTACTACGAACATGTGGTTGCTTTGACTGACAATAAAAAAAGATATGTTGTGTCTGGAATTTGATCTATTATTTCATAAGAACTGGTCAGTTTGATTTGCTATTTTTCAGTCAGGTTAAACCAAACAGAGGCCAAAGTGATAATAAAATCTTCAGATCGTTTCTATGTCTGGAGGTCATTCTATGGAGCATTTGTACACTGTGATTTTGTACTAGATTATATGGTACATGTATTTCAAATTTTAAATCATTTAATCTTTAAATAAGTAAAATATAGAATAAAAAGAACTGAGCAAACATATAACTAAATTTGAAATACAGAAAAATGATAGATTTGATTGGAAAAGGGTGGGGGGATTTAATATGTATTTCCATGACCTCACAAAACAGAATATTTTCAGTATGACCAAAGATATGTTTATTTTGTTCCTAGTTGAGGTCAGCTTATTTCTTTCCAAAATTTATTTCCAAAATCTGCCAGCCCCCCCCCCCCCCTCCCTTTTCAGAATCAAATGGCCATCCCTTAATCAGTCTAAGGAAAGAACAAAAACAATACCAGTTTGGAAAAGCTCCCTCCTTACATATAGAGATGGAATAGAGTTTGTCTATGCATTTTAATTTTATGCTAGTTTGGGGGGATTTACAAGCTGTATTTTTGAGAGTTCATTCAGTAGAATTTAGGAAGTCTTTTAGCCTCTTTATTTTCTGTGTCGGATGCCAGAAGCTAAGAGAGTGGTGGCTCTTAATTCCCCATGAAAAAAGAAACATCTCTGTTTGATAGGATTAACTCCTCAGGAAAACAAAGAGAAGAGAAACGATCTTCATGTTTCCTTAGAACGTACCGTTCTCCCGTACTTCAGTAGAATTAAGATGTCTGTGTGCTAGCGTTCATTAGCGATCACATTAATTAAGGATCCTCCTCTAGTTTATGTTTTTACTCTAAGTGAAAATGTTACCACATACAAACACTATCATTATCTTAACAGTGATAAAGGAAGACTTTTGTCTACGAATATTATTAGAGGTATTGTTGGGGAAACTTTTTGGGTTTCTTTGTTCCTTTGAAGCAGGGGGGAGGGGGGTTGAAAGCTTACTATAAACCAAATTTCTTGATTTCATATTTTATGAATATACTTAGTTGTATTTTTTCATTAATATCATTTAATAACATAAGAATGAATGTCTACTCTGTGAACAATTTTTTTTATTTTCATTTTATGCCAATTTTAGGGGCTTGCTTGTCAATTGCTAGTGTGTTACAACAAATTAAAAAATAAATAAATGTGTGTGCGGCTAAATAGCCTTCTTTTTTATTGGGCAGCTTTCTTCATTAGACGTATTAAGATTCTGTCTGTATCTGTTAAAAATAAATTTGATCGGTGGAGATTTAGCCAGGAATTACCTGCAGTTGATTTCTGATGATAGAGAATTATTGATAGGTTACTAAGCTTTTATTTGGAAGTGACTGTTAAGGCTGATAAATAATCAATTGTTGCAGGAATGGTACACAAAGCTATAATTATCCTCTGGAATAAAAACAAGTTCACTTTGATTAGATAAATCATTGCTGGTTGAGCCGTAGTTATAGGTCTATAGATAGGGTCCAGGGTGACAACACTCCCGTTCCCTGATAGGACCTTCTGGACATGCTGATAGTGAGTTCAGGGCCACAAATAGACCGCCAACGCTAGTTCCTTCTCTGAGAAATTCCCACCATGTAATAAAACTCTCAAGTAGTGTTGTACTCCTCATCATGTAAATGACTCCAGCTCCTGCTATGAATTTCAATAATTGAATATGCCAATTTTTGTTGCTTAACATTGCAACACACAAGAGGTTTCTATTAAGTTGTGCTCTAACTGAAAAAAAAATAACCGCACACAAAAGGGAGGAAAAAAAGTTTTTGGAATTATGTTGTGAATTACACCGGAGTGCATTTTGTGAACACATGCTTGTGCGGTCGGTTGTAAGAATCGGGGCTGGTGAGAGGGACAGTGGAATTCTGGGATTGTACCAAGCGATGTCGGACTCCGAACAGGAAGGAGGATGTGTGAAGAAATCGCGATTGTCCAGTTATAGTGACGGGGAAGTCAGTGTAAGGTGAGGGGTGGATCTAAAGGAGTGTGTGACGTGGAATGATAAACAGAGGAAGTTATGTCAGAGTGAATTAATGTCAGGAGGGGATCTTGGGGGGTCATTGGACAGGTAACCATAGCAGTTAGTTGTCATAGTGATATATATATCAGATGAATTTTATGCAAGTCTCTCAGGTGAAGTCAGGAATTCCGGTATAAATAGCGGCTTTTCTGTGATATCGTGAAGGTATGAGGACCAAGATATCAATTAAACATTTTCATCAAGTGTTGACAGTTATGTGTTAAATTATGCTAAGGAAACCTAGACATTGATATTTATATTATTCTCTCATATTCCCTGAGGCGATTCAATGCTTAATATTCAAAGCTTAAAAAAAGGGAAAGACCTCAGGAAGTTGTGATATGTGGAGAATATCAAAGAGGGAATTTACATAAATTCAATCTAATTTGGTGGCATAATTAATGGGGGCTGTGCATTGTTATAAGAAACACAGAGATATATTAGGGAATTTATTGATTAAGTCAATACAGTGGTCATAACCTGAGGCCATTTTCTGGTCACAGGGATAAAAAGCTTTGTTTACACTCTGTATCAACTCAGCTTCAGATCACCTTAATCTATAGACTCTCACAGAGTGTACCGTATTTAATTGTACGACCATTGTCTTTATTAGTCCATTGTCAAAGAAGGTCAAACTAAACCCTGTTTGTTGTCAAAGAAGGTCAAACTAAACCCTGTTTGTCTTTTGCTAATTTTTAAACTTGCATTTCTTGGAAATTGGACTTTAATGTTACATGTAATATAATTTTACGATTAATTGATTCTGTAATTATAGGGTTAAATTGTACATTTTACATTTGGAATTTAATGTATTTATGTACAAAGGGTTCCATATATCATGGAGGAGTTAAGAGTTTAACGTTTTGCTTGTTTTGAAGTGAGAAAAGTTGTGGCATGTTATTATGGAAATAAAAGTAAATAATTAGAAGGAATTAAATTAACAGTATGAAATAATACCAAGCCCCTAAGGCATCGTAAGTCACAGGTTGGCGGACTTGGTCGTTAACCTTTAGGTTTCATGGCCCTCAATGTCACTCAGAAATATTCAAGCTGCATTAATTTTTTTTTTTTTTATATTTTTCTTTCCTGTACAGAACACTTGTAACACAGATTCAGGACTTCTTGTAACATGTTCCTGATTCATTAACGTAGTTCACATGGGGCACAATCTTTGAAAATGATCTTTTAATCATTAAATAAACTGATGGGTTAAAAGATTTGGTGGGTTTTACATAAAATGAACACAGAATTAGAAGGCATTTTAGTCTTGGCTGAATTTAAGAGCCATCATAATGGAAACAACTGAATAGTGGAGCTCTGAGTTTCTTTAACCTCCAACCAGCATAAAGAACATAAAGGGGGCAGCACATGGAGCAGGAATGAATCGCCCGTGGAGCGCGGGAGGCATTGACTCTGATTATAGTATCAAATTCTCATGTGTTTAAGTACACTCAATGTTTGTTCTGCCAGAGATGATGTGATGCGCTTTATTTCATTTCTAAACACCTTACCGTCATAAGAGCTTTGTAATCTCTTCAGTAGACAAGGACGAGACTATAAATGCAGCGTAAAACTCCAAGCCCTATCAATTATTTAATGATACCCTCAAGTTTTAAAACAATCTAGCGATAAGTTCTTTATTTTATGCTATCTACAACATCTTCATTTAAACCGTGAGATAGTGGATAAAGTCCTTGTAAAATATGGAAACTGCTTGTGAATGAATTGATAAGGTCTGTTTTATTGTGTTTTTTATTGAAAAAAGATGGTGATAGACTCTGAAGGAGTTTTTGTCAGAGGAAACTCTGGTTCCTATGCGAGAGGTTCTGAGATATATATTTACATTAATAATATTGACTAGGGTGCATTAAAATTATTTAAGATATTTTAATGAAGTATTATAGCAAACATATAGTTATTTTAAAAGTTTCAAATAATGTCCTTTTATGAGTCTACTCTGAGTTAGTTGCCAAATATCCATCCATTGCTGTGCATAGTGTGAAATGTATATTGATTGTTAAAAAATTTTGCCTCTTGGAAAACAATTTCCACTAAATTTGATGAATAACAATTCTGGAGAAAGGGAACAAAATGTTACAAATTTCATGGTCTTCTGCTCCACTAGAACTAGAGGAGTGGAGATACAGTCAAACTTTATGATGTTCTCCAAAATTCCTGATTAAGAATTAGCAGACAAACTGGTAGCATGAATACAATGAGCACTTAACCCGGCCTCTACCAAATTTATGCATCTCATTAAATTTCAGACCCAGGTTTGTTGTCTAAGTTCTGAGCATACGTTAAAAATACTCTATACCTAAGAAGATCTTTATGCCTGAACATCTAGCAGAGAAATATTTAATCTTTATAGTTTAAGTTTTACTAATATCCATTATATTTGAATGTTGTTCAAAGGAGAAGTAAGTGGTCTTATTTCCCATGTCTTTATTTTACCCAGAAGTGATTTGTTTTTAAGATAATTAAAACCCACATAATTCAAAATAAATAAGAATAATATACTTATATAATGCAATGTCCATCTAAACAATCAGTGAGAAGTTCTACATCTTAAATTTTTTAGGAAACTGTTGTAAATCTATCATGGAGACTTACATTGTCAATCTACAGGGACGTTACTTTAGAAGCTTGGTGGTCGGAGTGTCAGATAATTTCATTTTGGCAAATTGAAATATTTTTCATTTTCATTGATTTTCCTTAATTGACATAATTTCTACTCTGTAACATACATAAGGACTGGGAAAACTTGCCTCTGTTAGGAGAGAATTTTACGCAGAGGATATGGCCCAAATATTGAAAAATATGGTGGAGATAAGTAAAAATTTGTGGTAAATTTAAAAATGACAGTAGACACAATAGAGCTTGCTTAAAAGGAACTGATGATTAATTTAAAAAAAAAAAAAGAATTGACAGTAATGGAATGATTTGAAATTCCCCAACCTTTTGTATAATATATTTTTAATGGACAAAAATGGTTCAAAAAGAAGGGGAAAAAAAATGACTTTTAAGGAGTTTTCAGCATTCACTAAATGAAAGTTATTTCCTACATGACTTTAGTATAGCAATTATTCTGCATGGTTATACTTGTCCTATCACAAAGAGTCATTGTCATTCCTGAGGATAGGCTTGTTAATGATGTCTTTCAAACCCTTGCAATATTCCAACATGCTTTAAATTTGTTAACAATACCAGATATGCATTTGGGGGCCTCATGAACTGTGGACCTAAAATTAGGTCATAGTGACCTACCTTTTGAAATTTAATAGCTATTTGACATGTTTGAAATATTTTAATTTGGAATTTTATAGCATATAGGCATAAAGTGTTCAAAATATATCTTGTGCCTTCATTTACTAAGTATTGATATTGCTAATTGGAGTAATGATTTGTATAGCCTAAGAGTAGGTGATGATTGCTTAATTTTGTCATTTTTTGATATGCCCAATAAAATAATGAATGTTGCACATTTAGCACACTGTGAGGTCTAGGAACACTAGATGTCATTTGATGCATTTTTTGCTACATACTTGTGAAGTTTTTCAGAAGAGCATTTTTAGGTTCCTTTATAAGGCTTATTGTCAAGGAACAGTTTATATTTTTAAGGCCTTCTAGAAATCTGCCAGTATTCCATACTTTTACCCGGCTGAAATCATGATTGTACCGGCCAGATTATTTGTTGAACACTGTTGAAGAAAAATTTGATAGCATATTAAATTAAAATTGCTTCCACAAGGTACCTCCTATTTTTGTCAAAGTAACATTTGTTTCTAATCATGTTGAAAGCCCTGATTTTTATGTTTGATGTTGTTACATGCATGAAGAATCCCCCTTTAAAATGAAAAATTTCTTTGTACGGTCATTAAAAGAGAAATGTACTTTGAAATTCCTAACAATAGCTTTTATTTTAACTGAATCAGACTAAGTATTATCCATGATGCAATACTGAATGTTTTATGAAGTATTGGATACTGATATCTACTGTGTGATATCACTAATTTTCGTGAGGGTTCAACTTTCAATGTTTTTGTGGTATGAAGAGATGAGACCCACAAATTTATATCTCCCAGGAAATGTGAAAATTTCATGCTTCCAAGTCCCCTCAGACCAGTAATTTCTAAAACCATGAATTTGACTCTATGAAAATAAGTGTTTTTACAGGAAATTATTATTTATATTTTTTTAAAAATAATTTCAGAACAATGAATGGCCAGGTCCAAAAATCAGAGCCCGACCCAGATGCCATCAAAATGTTTGTTGGTCAAATTCCAAGGTCGATGGATGAAAATGATCTCCGCAAAATGTTTGAAGAGTTTGGTGCAGTGTATCAGCTAAATGTTCTCCGTGACAAAGCCACAGGACAAAGTAAAGGTCAGTAACTCTGAAGTAATGTAAAGTAAGGGTAGATAACTCTGTAATAACCAATAGAGATAACTCTTTGTGTGCTCTGAAAGTAAATGAAATATACTCTCAATAATAATTTATTACAAACCAGTTTTTGGTTTGTTTCATTCACATTCAAAAGCAAATGTTCATAAAAGGAAATAATTCAGAATCTGCATGGTATAGGAAAAAGGACAGAACTCATAGATTAACATAAAGATGTCCTAATGTTAAATGCTAATGAAGGGGGGGGGGGGGGGGGGGGTGAAAACTAGTGGAGATTTATTAAGAAACTTAATGTGTAGATAAAGAAAGAGAGGTCCTAATTAATTTTATGTTAATGAAGGGGAAAAATAATTTATTAGGGATGGAATTTGGTTTATAAACTAAATTACTTTGATAAATAAGAAAATCATATACAGTATACGATCGTAAATGAGGAGTCATTTCATTTCTTCACCATAAATTTCATTGAAAAACAATTTTTTATAATTATAAACTTATTCTGAGGACAGCTTTAGCCCTATTTCCATTTTTTTCCTACTCATTGGCAATTTTGGAATGGTTTTCCTTAATTTTCTTTTCCCAAGATTCTAAGCAAAATATGATTGATTGATAATTCAATAGATTTTATAAAATCATGAAGTTAAAATTTCTGGCTTCAGAATGCTATGATTTCTTAACAAAATTGTGCCTGTAAAAATTTGCATTTAATGTGATATCCTTGCAACACCTGCAGATAAAATTATTTTGAATTATGGGAAGAAAGTTCTAACAATTCTGCATTTTATGAAGTTATATTTATAAGAAATTATCTACAAAAACATTTCAATACTTTTTTCAATAGTCCATTTTCAATGACATATATTGCTGAAAAATATGATATATATTGCTGAAAAATATGATAAAATGACACCTCATACACTGTATATCACTGATTAATTAATGGGTAAATGTGTCTCAAATAGAGGCTGCATTTATACATGTATATAAAAAAAAAAACGCGCGGAAAATGTAATCAAATGGAGTGCATTTAATCTTACAATCTACAATTAGTAGAACTAGGGAGGTTGATCTCCAAACTACCAGGCGTAACTTGTTGCTAAAACTTGAATGTGCTCATTAGTACAATCACAAAGTTGAAAACTGTATATCATCTGTATATTGTGTGTTTTGTGGTAGAGAACAAAGACGGCGAAATTCCATTAGATAGAGAGGCCGATAGAACGGGGAGTTATTTCATTAATTTGATTGTATGACTTCATAAGACTGTCACTGTAAAGACTGATCAGAACAAAGCTCTGATGGGGCACATAAAATGAGGTTATCTACAATGTGCAAATTCTGCAGGATTACTGCATGCAAATCACCATTTAGCACAAACGCATGGCAGACCGAGACTCCTGATTAGGACTGAATGCGGGATTAATGTTGACTGGTTCGGTTCTCGCAGGAATTGACAAAGAGATTCTAGTCTTTGATACTGTGTTAACTTCTAAGCAGACTGGAGACTTCAGTAGAACAGAGAACTAAAGACCAGAGGCCTGCCAAGCATAGAACGGGGTATCCATCAACTGTAGCTCCTGGCTGGGAGAGATATCAAAGGAAAAAGGGACCAGAGTAGTTAATCAGTTCTATAAATTTTATCACAAATAAATAAAGCTTCTGCGTTTTTAATGGCTTACCACTGTGTAATCTGTAAACAAATTGATTGCCCTCATAAAAAAAAATTGGTTTGTAGAATTGAGAATAACAATTTATTAAAACCTGCATATTGGTTGGAAAAATTATTTGATCTGTAGAAATATTGATAAATACACCTAACTTCTCTTCTGTAGATAACTGTCATCATTTAAATTATTTCATGATTTAGAGGGAAAAAAAACAGACAAATCAAAATCTTAGATCCACTCTCTGCTTTTGTATAGAAAGCTCAACAAATAGATTATCAGATTGATTTTCTAGTATATCAAATTAAAAAATCTAAAAAGTGGTGTAAAAAAGAAAAAAGTGAACTATATAAAGTGTGCAGTTTTTAGCTCACCTGAGCTGAAAGCTCAAGTGAGCTTTTCTGATCACATTTTGTCCGGCGTCCGTCTGTCTGTCTGTCCGTCTGTCTGTCTGTCTGTAAACTTTTCACATTTTCGACATCTTCTCAAGAACCACTGGGCCAATTTCAACCAAACTTGCCACAAAGTATCCTTGGGTAAAAGGGATTCAAGTTTGTTCAAATGAAGGGCCACGCCCTCTTTCAAGGGGAGATAATTAGGAATTAGTGAAAAAATAATGGCAACATTTAAAAATCTTCTTCTCAAGAACCATAGGGCCAGGAAAAATGAAACTCATGTGGAAGCATCCTCAAGTAGTGTACATTCAAGTTTGTTCAAATCATGACCCCCGGGGCTAGGGCGGGGCCACAATGGAGGATCAAATTTTTACATAGAAATATATAGGAAAAATCTTTAAAAATCTTCTTCTCAAGAACAGCAAAGTCATGATGAGTCATATTTATGTGGAAGCATCCTCAGGTAGTGTAGATTCAAGTTTGTTCAAACCATGACCCCCGGGGGTAGGGCGTGACCACAATGGAGGATAAAAGTTTTACATAGAAATATATAGGAAACATTTTTAAAAATCTTCTTCTCAAGAACAGCAAAGTCATGATGAGTCATATTTATATGGAAGCATCTTCCGGTAGTGTAGATTCAAGTTTGTTAAAATCATGACCCCCGGGGGTAGGGCGGGGCCACAATGGAGGATCAAAGTTTTACATAGAAATATATAGGAAAAATCTTTAAAAATCTTTTTCTCAAGAACAGCAAAGCCATGATGGGTCATATTTATATGGAAGCATCCTCAGGTAGTGTAGATTCAAGTTTGTACAAACCATGACCCCCGGGGGTAGGGCATGACCACAATGGAGGATCAAAGTTTTACATAGAAATATATAGGAAAAATCTTTAAAAATCTTCTTCTCAAGAACAACAAAGTCATGATGAGTCATATTTATATGGAAGCGTTCTTAGGTAGTGTAGATTCAAGTTTGTTCAAATCATGACCCCCAGGGGTAGGGCGGGGCCACAATGGAGGATCAAAGTTTTATATAGAAATAATTTATATAGGAAAAATCTTTAAAAATCTTCTTCTCAAGAACAGCAAAGCCATGATGAGTCATATATATATGGAAGCGTCCTCAGGTAGTGTAGATTCAAGTTTGTTCAAATCATGACCACCGGGGGTAGGGCAGGGCTGCAATGGACTATCAAAGTTGTACATAGAAATATATAGGAAAAATCTTCTTCTCAGGAACAGCAAAGCCCAGATTGTTCATATTTATATGGAAACATCCACAGGTAGTGTAGATTCAAATTTATTCAAATCATGACCCCCAGGGGTAGGGTGGGGCCACAATGGAGGATCAAAGTTTTACATAGAAATGTATAGGAAAAATTTTAAAAATCTTTTTCTCAGGAACAGCAAAGCCCTGATTGATCATATTTATATGGAAGCATCTTCAGGTAGTGTAGATTCTATTTTGTTCAAATCATGACCCCCGTGGGTAGGATGGGGCCACAATGGAGGATCAAAGTCTTAAGTAGAAATATATAGGGAAATATCTTCTTCTGAAGAACTGCAAACCATGATTAGTCATTTTGATATGGAAGCATCCTCAGGTAGTGTAGATTCAGTTTTGTTCAAATGATGACCCCCAGGGGTTGGATGGGGCCCATTGGGGGATCAAAAGTTTTACATAAGAACATATAGAAAAAATATTTCTTCTCAAGTACAGGAAAGCTATGTTTAGTTATATTGATATGGAAGCATCCTCATGTAGTGTAGATTCAAGTTCAAATGATGACCCCTGGGATAGGGAGGAGCCACAATGGAGGATCAAATTTTTACAAAGGAATATATGGGAAAATTATTTTAAAATCTTCACAAGTATAATAAAGCCATTTGTTATATTGACATGGAAGCATCATCAGGTAGTTTAAAATTCAAGCCACCCCCCCCCCCCCCCCCACCCCCAGGTAATCTTTTCAATACTGAACTGATTTGTGCTTTTGCCTAGCCAATGTGCTCAGGTGAGCGATGTGGCCCATGGGCCTCTTGTTTTTGTTTTGTTTTGTTTTTTTTTTCTTTGTTTCTCAATCATTTGTAATGTTGTACATATCAGAAGCTGTGTATTGTCAGAGTCTGTTGAGGTGACTCTCTTTGAGGACATTCAAGTCAAACTTGTTTAAATGTTCACATTCAAGTGAAACTTGCTCACATTCTCATGTGTAAAACATTGTAAAATAACTCTAAACAGATGTTTATGGCTGACACTTGTAGCATCAAGAAACACATTTTGTACACATGCTGTAATAAAAAAATGTTTTTTCCCCGTTAATGTTTTTATAAATTTGATGTGCAACTTCAGAGAAGTTTCTGCCATTAATTGGCCTTTTAGCATATATCGGTGATTTTATGTATAGCAAGGGCACAATTTGAAGTGACATTACATGCATTTGATGAAATCAAGCTAATTAATACAGAGAATTCATTTTTTTTTTAGTTTATCATCCTGTGAATTGGATGTCAAGATGGTATAGCTAAAGGCAAGATGTGTTAAACACTGAAGCCTAATCTAAAAACAATTGACATTGATTATCCTGTCAAAGGTAACCAGCCATATTGTTGTAGGACCATTCACTTTAAGTCAAGTGATACCAAATAAAATGTGTGCATTGAGATTAAAGCCTTCACTTTCTGTGTAGATAGAAAACCTGAGGCAGATTTCTCTGATGCTGAATGTTTGACACCTCACCGTGGCAACAGGACTCCAGCATCAGGTTGCTAAGGAAGTCGTGGACTTAAACAGTAATGTTCGATCTGACAGATTTTGTCAAGTCCACAGAAGAACTGTGAAGTTGGCATTTAAATAATGCGGGTCCTATTTGTCTCAAGTCATTCATTCAAAAGATTAATGTATTGTTCTTGTTTAATCTGTTCTTAGCGACAAAGTATGGCCGATTGCCTTCCTATTGACTTTGGAGTGTGAGATAGAAATACCCGTTATGTCACGGCTGACGGAAATCTGATCATTAAAGTATTGTAATTCTGTACAGATCAAAACACCAAAGGTTATCAAGGAGATCAGCCATGATAACTATAGACAACTTCGCTACATAGATGTGTAATGAACTTTAATGTTCAATAGATCAGAATTCTATATAGTATCAGGAAATCAAAGCAAAATACCTAACACATACATAAATAACATATGTCGGACAATAAGATTGGAGATACAGGAGGAACCATTGTCAGGCTTTGTCTAGTGTCTGAAAATATAAAAAAAGATATTCTTCACATAGTCAGAAAACCAATGGGTGGGGGATGAATATAAAGATGTAAAGTCTATGTTTTTTCTAATTTTAAACTACAGGAAGATCATTGAAATAATGAGATTTTTTTTGGTATAGCCAGTACCTAGATAATACTGTTTTGGGGGTTGGCTGTGATTTCACAATTATGTCAGATTTAAAGTTAATGCAATAAAACATATGGAGAAATAGAATGTACATAAATTCCTTTAAAGTTTGTATATATTATTACCACAATATATGTTCTAGAAATGGTTTTGAGGTAAACTTACTTGGTATGATTTAAAAAAATTAATTTGTTGCATATAAAATGTACTAGTGTAATACTTTGCCAAGAAAAAAACAGCTGGCCTTAACATAATTAATAGACAAAAGATTTAAAGTAAAAAAAAAAAAATCATTCCCTAGCCATAGGTCTGTATATTGATACTTGTAATTTCAATGTTATTCAGATATTGGTTTGTCACAGCCTTTGTTAATAAAGTTTTGAACTGATGATTTATGAGGTTTCCTTTTCATCTTGTGTCAAAAGATGACTTAAAAAAAATTGCCTGATTTTTTTTTCTGCTTCAAAGTTTTGTGTTCAAATTTGAGTTTTACACAACACTTGTAAGTTTTCTTTTGCATTTTGCAGGTTGCTGTTTTGTCACATTTTACACAAGGAAAGCAGCACTAGATGCACAGAATGCATTACACAATATCAAAACAATGAGTGGGGTGAGTACTAGTTTATACAGAACCAGTCAATGCTTTACTTAATATCAAAACAATGAGTGGGGTGAGTACTAGTTTATACAGAACCAGTCAATGCTTTACTTAATATCAAAACAATGAGTGGGGTGAGTACTAGTTTATACAGAACCAGTCAATGCTTTACACAATATCAAAACAATGAGTAGGGTGAGTACTAGTTTATACAGAACCAGTCAATGCTTAACAGATATATAGTTTATATAGAACCAGTCAATGCTTAACACATATATAGTTTGTACAGAACCAGTCAATGCTTTACACATCTGTAGTATATATAGAAGCAGTCAAGTTACTTATTACAGTAGAAAATATGGTGTTGATTGAGTCGGGGAAAACAGATGAAATTGGAAGTATTTTGCTATTTTTTTTCTTTTTGAATCATAAATTTAAAAGGTGTTCTAAAAGAGATGTAGTCTGTTACAAATCTGAAACAAAACCAATTGAAAAAAGGCAGCATTGGTGAAATTGTTAAGATACAACAAGATTAGTATTGAAGATGCTCATGTTTGACATCTTATAATGTTAAAGAGATTCTAATAATATAAAGTGTTAAAAAATAATGTGATCTTCTTAATAATATTGAAAACAGCAGCGTAATCATTCAAAGTAGGAAAAAAAACTATGATGATGAGGTATTGAAGTTACGTTTGGTTGCTGTGAGTATAAAGTTAATGATGGGGGAAATGGATGGAGAGAGCTTGTCACAACAGTGTTAATTGAAAACTCTTTCCTATAGAAGACTTGTCCTTCTATTGTTCAGGGCTGTTAATGTGCGACATTGAGAACCGAACACTCATTGAGAGGTTTTACCATCAGGGGACTTAGAGATGTCACTCTGTAGAAATTAGAGATATAGAGCTGTCAAACAGAATTATGATTTTGTCACCAGGAATTATTTTTACGGGAAAAATGAAGTGAAATGTCCCATTTTTAAAGCAATAATATTTATTGTGTTTATCAGCCTTGGGATTGTTCCGGAGAAGTTACGGATTAATTCGATGAAGACATTTATCTCACCCTCACGATTTCTACAGGAAAAACACAGATATTGATCACGTTGACGAGTAGAAAGCCTGCTGACATTTTCTCTGACTGTTGGTGGTACATTGGCTGTTAATGAGAGATTACATGGTCATTTTCTTAGGATGTTGTTAATCATATATCAATTTTACTCCCACATTATTTACACAGACTAGCCATATATCTGTTATAATCATGTTAGAGATAAGGACAGCTTTAAGGAGCAAACCTTTTACAACTGCATTACTGAAAAAAAAAACACTAAGCCATATTCACCCAAATAAACAACCTCAAAGCCATTACTTCAGTGACATAAACAATACCCAATATTTATCATGTTTATTGTCTCTAGGCATGGAAGGGAGTTAGGTGTCATGGTGGGTAGCTACTTTATAATTGACAGAGAGTAGGTTAAGTTTCTGCATCTTTACTGAGGTGCATGGATTGAGGTTTTAACTGATGTTGAATGAGTAAAATGAGGTTTCTACTGACTACTGGGACTGACTCAACTTCACAAGTCTGAGTGATCTGTAAGAACCACTTATCACTTGTCCAACTCAACTGATACTTATGTATGTTGGCCAACTTAATTGGTCCCCATGTGTTACCTACATGTAATATAATTGGTCCCCATGTGTTTGCCCAACTTAACTGGTCCCCATGTGTCACCCAACTTAACTGGTCCCCAAATTATTGCCCAACTTAACTGGTCCCCATATGTTTGCCCAAATTAAATGAGCCCCATGTGTTTACCCAACTTAACTGATCCCCAAATGTCACCTAATATAATTGGTCCCCATGTGTCACCTAACTAATTGGTCTCCATGTGTATGGACAGCCTAACTGATCACCACATGTTACCTAAATTAACCAGTCCACATGTGTCATCCATCTTAACTGGTCCCCATGCAACTCAACTGGTCACCTGTTTGCTGAACTCAACTGGTTCCCATGAGTTGATCAGTGAAACTGACTCCCAGTGGCTGTTCTTCTTTATGAGTTAAGAAGCTGTGTTTCTCAGTAGAGGTAGTTGTCTGTCAATATTCTATGTTTATAAAAATATTCAGAAGATGGCTTGATTAATTGGACCTTCCATGCTTCTTTCTCAGATGTTTTATAGTCAATGTTATTGTTCTAAGCCAAATTGGACAAAAATGATCTAAGGAAGAAATCAATGGCAAATCGGAGTTAATCTGTCAGACCTGTCATATGCTAACACCGGCAAATTATTGGCTTGTTAAGCTGGGAACTCCATAGCAGTGTTATATGGTCTAATATATCTGACACTCACACATTCCTAGTCAATTTTATAGCTTTCTATGTTCTAGTAACTTAACATTGTCAAGACATTAATTTGTGTAGCTCTTATACATGACTTCAAAGTTTTGTTTTGATGATATAAATATTTTTAAGAAACCTCACAATAAATGGTCATAGATTTACAGTAACATGTTCATGGATGAAAAAGAGTTATTAAGTTGTTCACCTCAAACTGAATAGACCAATCTTATCGATGGAACTCGTTTTTTGCGATGGATATTTCGAAATGATTGTTCTCTGGAGAAGAGTTAAATGTGCCGGTAGTTGGTGAGGTTAACTTTGGTGAATAGTTCAAAGTTTTAAGTAAAGAAAGTAGGTATTACAAATTGAAAACAAAGGGATGATTTAAGCAAAAATCTCCCTTCTGCTAGGAATGCCATCACAATATGATTATCCATTCCTGCAGTAGTAGTCACGGTAAACCATACATATAATGGAGCAGGAAGAATGCAGTTCCTCTACAAGTTGTTTTAGGTTTGGTAAATAGGTAATACACAGCTTCTGTTTGATATTGGATGATGGCCTCATTGTGACATGATGGGGATTCCTCAGTCAGTTTATATTATCGGGGAATCCATATTGACAGGAGTATATAGCATACTGTACTAGTCACTATGAATTACACAGGTATTCAGACAATTGGAATCTAGGTACATGTACTCATATCTGCAATTGGTGCAAGACAGACATTTTTTGGGCAATGCATTAATTGGGAAGAGTTTTCATTTTATTCCATCAAATATCTTGGCTGTTAGAGGGTTGTACTAAATAAATTACAGTGTAAAGTGGTGGCATGCAGGATTGTAATTAGGAAAATATCTCTTTTAAATAGAGGGGATTCGTAGTTTCATAATGGTGTTTCCTTTCTGCTAGGAAACAGGAGGACAGAAAGTATGAAACAAATTTGTTTTGCAAATAAATCATACAGATGTTTACAGCATGAATTTTGTTAGATTAATTATTCTATTTCCAAAGTTTAATAAAAATGTGTATGATACATGTAATTTAATAATGATTTTTCTGGATTTATAATGGAAACAATAGGGGAAATATTTAAGTTTACACTAACTTGCACAGCTTGTTGTGAGCAAGTCAGAGAGACATCTCTCTAGATAATTCTCTTTGTGGATGGAGTCCCACATTAGGACTAGTCAAATGTGATGCTTATCCCAACTTGTGGCATTCATTGTTGGAGGAAATCTTTAAGTTTTCCAGGGTGTGTTTCTTATATAAGGGGAATCCATGATTCTAATAGAAAATAGAAAGAGAATCTCTTTTGAATGTGATCCTTCAAAATGAAGTCCTTGAACAAGTGTAGAGGGATTTCCATGATCCCAGGTGGAAGGACAGGTTCTGATTGGAGAGGAAATCCCTAGAATTGTAGTCAATATAGAGGACTGTACTGGGAGTGGTGCTAGAACTCTCTCAGGTTTAGAACCACCACATCTTTCCTATAGAGAGTTATTATTCCCTTCTGTCAATTTAGAGGGGATCCCCGATTTCCTGATAATAAACCCCAAATGAGGATATCCCCTTGCATTGGAATATCCCAGTAGAAAGAGGATCACCAAGGAATTTATTAATTATAGCAGAAACTCTCTGGAAATGACACCAAATGAGGGGGAATCCCAGTCGTTTAGTACCAGACAGGTTTGTAATGTAATGGGTGATTATCCTTTCCTTTCTATGGACATTAATTGTTGTGAATGATGATCAATAATACAGTAGATTGATTGCTGCTTTGCCTGACAAGCTGCTGTAGATCACAATGTGGTCTTCATCCTTCACAAATCACTCGTGTTTTATTGAAGTTAATTATCACCTCGTTAAGTCAGTCCCAGGTAGCAGGTTCTTCAGTTCAAACCAGTGTCATTGACTTAATGCTGTCTCTGTCTCTGAGTGCCTTAGGCTCAGCAAACAGAACAAGAATTTATAGATCTCAGCCAAATGGACAAAATGATCATGTATTCAAACAAATGGACCCAAAATTAAGTAACATTTAGTCAGTCCCTAATAAGCACTTCAGCAGATCCTGCATTAGTTCTCAAACAAAAAGAAATTCTGTAATCAAACAAATTGAAAATTCTCTTATTTAGAAATCAAACTGACCTTGAACGAGTTCTTAACCAGACTTTGAGTGAGTACTTCAATAGGCAGACTTGATTAAGTAAAACCCATCATTAACCTTGAATAAGTACTTAAATAGGCAGACTTTGAAAAGTACTTAAATAGACTTTGAATAAGTACTTAAACCTTAAGTGGATATTTAAACAGACCTTGAATGATTATTTTAATGGCAGACATTACGTAAGTACTTAAACTGGCAGACCTTGAATGAGTACTTATGACCTTGATTGAATACTTAAACAGACCTTGAATGATTTCTTAGATAGGCAGACCTTGAATAAGTACTTAAACAGGCAGAACTTAGATAGGCAGACCTTGAATAAGTACTTAAACGGGCAGATCTTGAATGAGTGCTTATGACCATGATTGAATACTTAAACAGACCTTGAATGAGTACTTATATAGGCAGACCTTGAATAAGTACTTAAACAGGCAGACCTTTCTTTAGAGATTTTACCCAATGTCTTTTGAATTTGAACCACACTCAATCACTCTTGGAGTCACCTGCTTTTAGTAAATGTATGCTTTTAACAGAGTTAAATTTTGTCAACCTAGGAACATAAATCTGTGAAATATTAATCGTATGGAGTGAAAACAAAGTAATTCCGCCTGTGAGTTTTAAGATCTGGGTTTACTGTATTTTACTATTTATGAGATAAAGATTTCATAAATGGTCATTTGGTGTTCAAAACCCAATATTTACATTTCTAAATATTTTTCTTTAAGATTCTTTGCAAATTAGAAGACTGTTCATTTTCTCATGAACTACCATGGATGAGCATGAATATCTGCACTGTTACGTCATAATACCACACTCGATGTCAAAACTATAGTGCAAACTGTTTTGCTTAAAAAAATGACAGTTGAATAGCGTAATTTGTGGCATCTCATCAGAAAAATAATGTAAATATAAGAAATGAATCTAATTTTTGAAAATCCATGAGGTACATGAACTACAACGCTTCACGTCGACATATTTATCATGAAGCACTAACGCACTTCATGAAATATGCTGTCGTGAAGCGTCGTAGTTCATGTCCTCATGAATCTTCAAAAATTAAATTCACTTCTTAAATATCTGTTCAAAGTTCTGTTAGGTCAAGGCTCTACATTAGGTAAAGGTTTTATGTTGGGTCAGAGTTTCATTTCAGATCGAGACTGTATTTTAGGTCAAGGTTATATGTGAGGCCAAGGCTTTATGTCAAGTCTAGGTCATAGTTCATTGCCAAGTAAGAAATGACTTAGTCTATTGCTGTGGACATTTTATTTTGGAAACAAATCTTGTTAAAGAGAATTTTGAGCTCTGTCTTTAAAACCCGTCTTTGATTTTCACTCCTCTTTAGCAATATCTTTAGTTCAATAATTTTGGTTTAACTGATCATTAAGTGCATCATTATTTCAAGTGCGATATTTTGTTTTTCATTCTAGATGCACCATCCCATTCAGATGAAACCAGCAGACAGTGAGAAAAGGAATGGTACGTGTTGATCAGGGTTCTGTACAATGTCTGTTGTGTAAAAAATCATGTTTTATATGACTGTATTGTTATGATTCTCTACAGTGAGGTTTTTTTTTTGTGTGTTAAATCACTCCATGTGGTCTGTAACTGACAGACTTCCTATCTGTACACCTGCCTCATGTAAACAACAACAAAAACTGGTAGTATCCATTGTCAAATCCAATAAAATCAGTCTGGCTGTCAATACCATTACAACATACCTAACCACCTACAGATCTGGGAGAGGGGGACTGACTCAAAGCAACAACAAAAAATTATACAGTATCATCAAAATCAATAAAATCAGTCTAGCTATCAATTCCGTTACAACTGTACCTAACCATGAACAGACCATTGGTGGGGGGGGGGGGGGGGGGGGGGGGGCTACCTCAATTAAAACAACAACAAAACATTTCACAGTATCCAGTCAAAAATCAGTCGGGTGATTTATTCCACTGTACTTATAACCACACAGAGGTCTGGGTTCTGGGGATATAGTAATTTACAATGTAAGATGGTGGCCTTAATTATTGATGATAGATCACCATTTATCAATCATGGAAACAAATTAAATTCAACACACCTTTCTATCAAAACTTTAAGTAGGATATCTGTTACACACAGCTGTCAATTTGTGTTTATTACTAAGAGAATGATAAATAAATAATAAACATGTGGGAAAATGTCCATGTTTTCCCTTCAAACTTGGAAAAAAAAGATTTCACAAAGGAAAGGTTCAGATAAAAGGCAGATCTCAGATCCATATTGGTAACCAACATGCATATTTTAAAGCCTGTTCCTAATTAAGACCACAGAGAGAATTTACTTAGCAGAAAATTTCATATAGTAGACAAAAGCAGATAACCGGTAACTTGATTGTACATACAAAATCTTAGGTGAGCATTCATGAGAAGATTTCTTAAGACATCAGTTGACTGCATTTAAGGCACCAAAGTAATAAATAATTTACATAATTACTCATTTGTTCATAATCAACAAGTATTGGTTCCTGTATAGTCCAACCTTGATAAATCAACCACAGTGGGGCTGTCAGGGAGATATAGATTTTCAAACACAGTGGGGCTGTCAGGGAGATATTTATAGATTCTGTTGAGTGAAATTCTTGTTTTTAACCTGCAACAATAATTGAGATGATCCCTAGTTGTGAAGGGAGATTTATCAATACCTACTCATTAGTGATATGAGATTTAAGCAATAATAAGTGGTTTTTGATTTTAAGTAAAATTATTTGTCAAGGTCAGCTTTAGAATTCATTTTCAGACCATTTTTCTATATATTAAGTATGTGTCTTGCATATACTGTATTTGCGTTTATTAAGACTAGAGCATTGGTGCATGTATATATTTTACAATAAATATTTCAAACTCCTTGTTCTTTTGTTTGTAGAGGAAAGGAAATTATTTGTCGGGATGATTTCCAAGAAGTGCTCGGAGAGTGATGTTAAAATGATGTTTGCTCCATTTGGTTCAATAGAGGACTGCACGATATTGAGGGATCAGAACGGACAGAGTCGAGGTTATCTATTTATAGTAACAGTCAGAGTGTTCTCTCATAATGTACACTAAGTGTATAAGATACATGGTAGAGTTTAATTTATTATATAGATACTGTATACAGGGAAATTTTCGCCCTCGTTTTATTTTTGCCCCTTTCGCCCTACTCACAGGTGGGTGAATTTAAAATGGAGAGAATTCAAAGAACACAGCATAATTTTTTAAACAGAACTGTAACTGGTCGAATTTAAAATGGGGCAAGATTGAACGCAAGTGTGAAAGGGGGAAAATAACATGGGGCAGAATTATCCCTGTGTACAGTACCCTCTGCAGTGGAGGGATATAGAGGGGACTACATGTTTCAAGAGGAAAGATTTACTTTACACTGACAAATGTTGACAACAAAAAGCTTCTGAAGAAAATGTTAAAATATTAACAGAACTGAAACCTCCACCATTCCTCTAATCGGTAGTTTATTTTACCTGTTTCAGGATGTGCTTTTGTAACGTATGCCAATAGACAGTCTGCTCTGAATGCCATAAAGAACATGCATCACTCACAGACCATGGAGGTAAGAAAAGAACTGCAGAGAGTAGATCTCCCTTTATGACACCAATATATATCCACAAAGAAACACTGTGTGGAATGTGGTTCTTGGTTTGTCTATATATATATTGTATGCCCAGGAACTTTTTAAGAGTCCATATATTTAGACATGCTCATTTCTTTATGTTTGATCCAGGTGAAACATCAAATTGGATTTTCCACATAGGAATTAAAAACATGACATAAATTTTGGGGTTATCAGGTTTACAAGATTTTGTTGACATCCGTTTTAAGTAGAATTGGAATCTGTGAGCTGTGTACTGAATAGATATTAATTTCAATGCAGTGCCAGTCCTTAATGACATCATTTAAATTTGTTTCAAAGTTTGCCCAATAATATCTCGCATTGAACTGTGGTTTATCACTGACTCGTAAATCAATACTAATGATAGAGAACTAATGATAGTGAACTATCTCTTTCAGGGGTGTTCATCACCTATTGTTGTGAAGTTTGCAGATACACAGAAAGAAAAGGAAGCGAAAAAAATACAACAAATAAATCAAAATCTCTGGAACATATCAGCAGGGGGTGTGGCTGGCTTCTCCCCCCAATATATCACAGTAAGTATACAGAAGGGGAGGGGCACCTCCCCCAATATGTCACAGTAAGTATAGAAAGGGAACACCCCCCCCCAAATATATCATAAACAGGAGGGGCATCTTCTCCCCCAATATGTCACAGTAAGTATACAGAAGGGAATGGGGGTATCTTGTTCCCCAATATATCAAAGTAAGTAAACAGAAGGGAAGAGGAGGGTATCTTGTTCCCCAGTATGTCACGGTAAGTATACAGAGGAAGGGACCCCCCCCCCCCCCCCCCCCCCCCAAATATATCATTAAGATGAGGGGCACCCTCTCAACCCAATATATCACAGTAAGTATACAGAGGGAGGGAGTGCCTCCCTATATTTCAATTCATCCTCCAGTAAGTGTACAGGGGGCACCTTCTCTCTCCCCACCCACCCACTGTATTACACAGGGAAAGAGGTGTCCTCACCCATTACATTTCTGATGATGTGTATGCACAAAGATCATTGACAGAGGATTTGGGGTATATAATTTCAGAGGATGTAATTAAGATAGGGTCAGCAGTGTGAGGCTTCTTTTAATGAGAATGGTTTTATTTTAGATGTTTGTAGGACAGGGTAAACGTCTGTGAATTTGATAGTAAATCTGACCATGTTAGTTGGTAGACATATCTTGGTGTAGGCCCTGTTGTTCCGTTTTTTGTTAATTCTCAGTATGGTGTAGACAATGTTTTATGTAACATTGTTGTAGTAAATTGACTGTGCATTATTTGAGATTGTTAGATTACAGACGTATTATAATGGGGGATTACAGACGTATTATAATGGGGAACTTCCTCTCTGAGGTTTTTTTGTCTGACCTTCAACTTCAGATAATTGTTGGCTCTTAAATAAAGGTTGATAATTGAAACTTGTGTAGGAATGCTAGTGTTTTAGATTGCAGGTTACAGGTACATCAGAGGATGAAGGAAGTCATTTTAGAAACAGTCGTTCTGATATCATCAAACATGACTTCTACAGAAGTAGGTGGGGCATAAGAAGAATCACTCAGGCGTGTCTTGGTGACTGATTCTGTTTGATATAAAAAGTTATCTACTTCCTGAGATTTTTATCTGCATTTGTACTGTAGTCATTATATCTGCTGTTTCATCAGCAATTTTCCATAATATTTTTTTTTTAATGTCGGTATCAAAAAGTGTGATCATTTGCAAAATCACACATTTGTAAATGACGGATATAAAGAGGAATGTGAAGTAGGGCTGTCAGAATATTAATGTTGGAGACGTGCCTTATAGAGACATAGGTTATTGTATATCACATGTAGGCCATTGGCATACTGTTTGATTCTATGCCTCGAGTAAAAATTAACACCATGTTTTTGTGTGTATTGTGGAGGGGGGGGGGGGGGGTAACAATTACTCTCCACTGTGAGGAGAGGATCCCTTTGTTGGGACTTTGTTCCATTTCACTACTGACTTTGTATAAAATCCAGTTATTTTTGAAGTTACATGAAAAGCTCTCTAAACACTGAGAACATTTGATACAGCTGCAGTTTCTTGGATTTTTTTTTCTTTCTACAATTTTCTAAAAGCCCTGGTTTCCATGTAATCTGTATTAGAACGTGGTCCTGCAGTGCAGCATCAATAAAAAGAAGACATCTGCCTGAATACAACAGGGATGGCTAAAAAACTTCTAAACCAGTCCCCTGTTGTTTAATGCTTCAGAGTGCATGAAGCCGCTCCTTTGAGAGATTGAAATTCAGTTGCTTAAGTAGAAAATATTTTATCTGAGATTTGGTTCACTGAAAGCTTGTGATCCTGCAGAGTTTACGATCATCTTAATCATGAAGAATCTTAAGTTTGTTTTGTCTAATTCAGGGACAAAGTCCATGTAATTACCTATAGTTCAGTGATATGATATATTGGTATGTTCAAAATGATAAAAGACTTGAAAAACAGTCAGCTATGATGGACAAAAAAATTCAGTATCATTTTACACTTCCTGTAAACAAATGCTGATTAAAGATTTTGTGAAGAGATTACTCTTCAATGTGTTAAATTTGTTACTAAATGAAAAATTTTTTTATAAACATTGTCATTGTTGTAAACATGGTAGATGAATAAATGTAAATTTATCTGAGACTGATAAGTTAATATTTGTGTTTTATCAACCAATAAAAATATGTCTTACTTTTTGTTTTTGTTTTCTTAATTCTAGTTGTTACAACAGGCAGCAATGGCTGGAAATCTGGGACTCCTCAACACAGGAAATCTAGGTAAGCTGCCCCCTGGTGGTAGAAAATGTGCCATCTTTTGCAGGTTATAGTTTACACTAGGTCATGGCTTAGTGACCTACTGAAAAAAGAAAAAGAAATTAGCAGACAAGTAGCCGTTACTTATCAAAGAATGTCCAAGGGTCAAACTTGTTAGGTATTTAAAAAAAAAAAAGACCTTCTGTTTGTGGCTATGTCTTGGTTTTTGTTTCCCTATGAACATGACTGCATTGTGTGATATAAAAAATGTCAAACTAATTTATATAGACCAACTAAAGCACTGATGTCTTGAAGTAGAGCTTCCAAGTTTGAGACTCAGGCATGCCTTAATGAGACCTGAATTACAGTATTAATTATTAACATTCCAAATGCTAGGAAACATTTTGCATGATGTATACTGCCATTATGAAAAAAAAAATACTTGTGCATAGAAGACCATTTATTGATGTTATGAAATTGGAAGGAGAGATGAATACAGAAAATTCAAAAATTGTTTGATGCTAATTTACTGTATGAATTGTTAGCTATGTATTTTTACAATGTTTAACTGTCATGACATATTGGTATGAGACACACCTGAATGGGGTATAACAAGTATGTGGCGTGATTTCAGCGTCGCCCACCGGCGGTACTAATCCCCTCGCTGTTCAGCAGTTACTGTTGGCAGCAGCGAATGCGGCAGCATCCGGGAATAATACAGGTATATGTTACCATGGTAACTGTTGCTTGTAGCCTCTCTCTGGTGTTTTAGCTGTAGTGGTCGGGAATGTCCAAATCAAGGTCAGAGAAAGGAGTCAAAGTTACTCTCGTTTTCATGCAAAGAAACAACATTAAACGATGAACATTTCTAAATTCTGATTGTTATTTGCAATAGAATATTAAGTTTTTATTTAAAAAATAAGTTTTTTTATTTATTATTTTTTGTGTGTGTGAATACAATGCTCTTAAGCAGAACTAAGTCAAACTTTAAATGGTAATTAATGTAATGATATCTGAAATTGAAAAGTAATGTATCACTTTCCCAGTATAGATTTTATTTCTTAGTTTCTAATTATGAGATGAGACCATTTGATTTGGACATCCTTAATTCTGTGATTTTTTTTTTCTATATTGTTTTTTCCTAAAATGTTTCTGATGGTGAAGAGGCTCTCAAAATCTTGGTGGACAGTTTTCTTCTTTTAATTGGGATGTTGGTTTTGCTAAGACTTAACAATGGGAACCATCTTCTTTGTGTAATTGTTACAAATTGTCATATTGCTTAAGAGGGATGCACTTCCATACTGAGTCTGTCTAAGTCAAACATTGATGCGGCTAGTATCCTCTCTGATTTCAAATGAAAAAATTGATACATATTCCATTTCTGGGGGGGGGGGGGGGGGGTCTATTTTTAAAGAGGAAGAAGATGCAGGACAGATACCATTGCCCATGTTCTTTTGACAGCACAAATGGCCCTGGTCTGGTGGTTATTGTTTGTTGGAAGTTTGGGTCATATCTGTAAATGATTAAGGGCTTTACTAGTTGTATCATTGCTATTACCATTGCTGTTTACTATGATTGCCTTTAGAATATTTTTACTTCAAAAGAAATATTGCTCCAGATATTTTCCCAGCTTTTTCTTTATCCTATCAACCTGGTATTGCCCTGACCTTTTAATCTGATATTGCCTTGGCCTGTTAATCTGATATTGCCCTGACCTGTTAATCTGATATTGCATGGACTTGTTAATCTGATATTGCACTGCCCTGATACTGTTATGTCCTGTTATTCAGATATTGTCCTACATATTTTACTTAGCACAAGATAATTGAGCAATCATCCCCCCTTTCCCATCTTCTTTATTTTTAATTCCATTTTTCTGAAGAAGTTTTGCTCACTTCTATTAGAATTTTACTCATTTGGAATAAATATTGATTCTTGAATATATTTTGGAATCTCCCTCTTGAATTCAAAAGCTTAGCCTTGAGGTTGTTTTGCTTTTGGAGGTAGTATTGTAACTAAAGGTTTTTGTTTATTTTACTTCTGGAATTCCAGATAGTGCTCTGTTTGAATTTATTTACCCTGTTAGAAATAGTATTGTCCACTTGAAGTTTGTTTGCCCTTTCATAATTAGTTTTTTGCCCTGTTTGTAGTGTATTTGCCCCCTTTCTAAGTGATATTGCTGTGCTTGCATTTATTTTGTCCTTATGATATTGGTCAGTATATATTGTGGTAGGATTACATTGTAATATATTGATATAATTAACATCATATTTGCTGTGTATAGGCGAGTGACACTATGTGCTAGTTTTGACCTATCATATAGAACATGTATATCCTCATATACTTGGCTGTATATGACCTATTTTTCTAAGCTTCAAGCATATATACCTATACTTGCCATTAACAGGATTGGAGTGAAATTTTAATGTTGTTTTAAATTTGGTAGATGGTGATTGTAAACCAATATCTTTGCTTTTTCTTCTTTTTTGTGAAATGGTGTGTGTATTTTTTACATTATTTATTGTATTTTTACTCCTGTAAAATTTTATTTTGATGTGTAAATTAAGTATTTTTATGCAATATTACCTACATAATGGAATTTGACAGATGTATTTGTGGATAGAAATGTTGAATCAGTGATGGCTTAATTCCATCAACAGGGCTTCTAGCGGCCCTTGCCGCACTCCAAACCAACAACAGTGGGGGGAATATGTCATCTCCCTGTCAAACGCCAACCAGTGCTAGTAATTCATGTGGATCAGGTACTCCGTACAGCAGATAATGCTAAGTTGGGCTTACTGTAAAAACCTCAGATCAACTCTGTACACAGTCAAATTTTACTTGTGAGAAAAAAAAAAGTTGTAAAAGCAAAGAATATTTTTTAAATGGATCTATATACCTAAGGTTAAAAAAAAAATAGAAAGCTCTTAACTTACATTGTTAACTTTTAGAAGTTTTCTGGCTTGTAATGTTAGGGCATTGTTGCCCTTTGAAGCCTAGGAATGACTAAGATATACAGAGTTGACTGTAGTCTTATTTTTGTCTGATACAGTAAGGCCATTACTTCTTCTCTCCTTGTTAATGCTAGCTGTACTTTTTCCTGGCTTTTGTTATATTTATTTTTTTCTTTTTGCATGCATATATCTTGTTTTCTTTGCATTATATTTTTTTTTGCCAAAACAGTTGTCCTTTGCAAACATGTTAGATGTGTAGATAGCTACATTTATTGTGATAAGTGCAGTTTGATTGAAATAGCACTGGGCCTCTGTTTGTATTTGAGCACACTTCACACTTTACCTTGTATTTTTTTACTTGCCGATTAAATTTTGCATGTGAATCTTCTGTACTGTTAGTCTCTATGACCTTTGTTTTATGAGCACTGTTTAGTTTGGGTAGAATCCCAGTGTATCTCTTTCACCATTTTGTTTGATGTTAGACATGTACACCTTTTTAGTACTTCACCAAAATGTCTTATTTAAAGTTTTCAAGGGAAGGGAATTAAGAGAACTTTAAATTTATGTTTTTCTAAACACAGTATTTACAACTCTTGACTAGGCATTCCTTCTTTTGATTTGTATCTGCATAAACTATTCAGAAGGTACATAGATTAGGAAAACAAAATTGCACATCCACATATTTTTTTCCCCAAACACCCTTTCTTTCTTGCATGTGATTTTTTTCTCTTCTTTCTATCCAATGTACATAAAACATTTCTAAATGGAAAACCGTAACTCATTTGTGGCATAATTTATTCTACTTTATTTATTTGAATCTCTGCATTTATGTATGCATGTTTATGATATATATGATTTTTTTTTTGCATGTAAGCAGTTTGAAGTTGAAAAATTAAGAATGCTGTCAATGGAAACACTGTTCTATATATGATATTTTATTTATATGTTGTTATTAACATTCTAACTGTTATGTTAGTAAGCCTCGTCTTCTTGTTGTGTATAACGTAGCTCTCTAGTGACAGGAAGTGTGTCAAGATGGCACTTCCTGTCAGAGTTCACTGCTCTCGTCAACCTTGATAACAAAATCATTATACAGCTCTTTTGATGAGATGGAGGGCCCTAATTTACATTTCCTTTTACCTGATAAACAGACTTTACCTATAAAAATACCTCCTGTTTAACATTTACTATATTAATTAAGGCTTTATATTCATTTAAAGTGTTGACATCTCATGCTTATTTTTGCTTTTTACTCAGAATTGCATTATTTTTTACCTGATAAGCTCTAAAATTGATCTGGGGTTTTGAAATTTAAAAACCAGTGAAAAATTAAGTGCTTTTTGAAAAAAAGTATATGTAGAGAAAACTCTGCAAGGGGCTCCAAATATTGAAGATACATGTATTAAAAGTCCTCTGAATGAGAGGATGCCCTTAATGACTGACACCCCTGACCGGACGTGACTTACCTGTGTGGTCTCTTTTACAGGTGAACCAACATTACCCCTCCAGAACCTACAGGGACTGGCCGCTCTCACCTCAGCCACAGGTAACCCAGGTAAGTCTGAACCAACATTACCCCTCCAGACCCTACAGGGTCTGGCCGCTCTCACCTCAGCCACAGGTAACCCAGGTAAGTTTGAACCAACATTACCCCTACAGAACCTACAGGGACTGGCCACTCTCACCCCAGCCACAGGTAACCCAGGTAAGTGTCAACCAACATTATCCCTCCAGAACCTACAGGGACTGGCCGCTCTCACCTCAGCCACAGGTAACCCAGGTAAGTCTGAACCAACATTACCCCTTCAGAACCTACAGGGACTGGCCACTCTCACCTCAGCCACAGGTAACCAAGGTAAGTGTGAACCGACATTATCCCCCCAGAACCTGCAGAAGCTGGCTTTTCTCACCTCAGCTAAAGGTACAACCCAGGTACATATGACAACCAAAATAAATTTCCACAAAGTTATAACTTTTATACAAGTGATAAGTAAAGCTAAATGTCTCACTAGCTTGATATTTCTGAATCTGTACAAGATCATCATTTGTTTTAAATGCCTTGAGTAATTGTGTCAAATGAGGAACACTGCAGAGTTATAAATAGAAATATTTATGTCTGGTTTATATCACAGAGATCTTCACTAGAATGTCAGAATTTAATAATTCAAAAACGCTCAAATTTTGTGTGTTATTTTTTAGTATGATTTGGTGTACTTGTAATTGCATGTGCAGTTAGCAGAACTCCATTCATCCTTGATAAAATGAACTGGACAGGAAAGTGAGCTCTCTGAGGAGATACGTAACTTGATTAACTTTTGTTTTTCAGCAGCAGGTGGTATTGGTGCTTTGGGAATGCAGAGCATAGCAGCGTTAAATCAAATAGCGGGAGTGACGAATTCCACCTCAGCATCAGGTAAAAGTAGTGACGTTTATCTGATCAGGGTAAAATTAGTCACACAGTGGGCTCTCAAACAAACAATCTCTTTCACTAATTGCCTTTTAACAAGAAAATTATCGAAGAGCTCACTTAATTGAGGGCTGATGTTTAAACCACATACTAATTAAGATGTTTTGCTCTTTTTGTGTGCTTCAGAATTTCACTGTCTATGAAAACAGTGTTCATAAGGACAAAATTAAGATGCTAATTATTGTTTTAAAAATATTTGAAATAAAATAACAAAAATCATGTAGACATTGACACATGCCAGAAGAGGTATGATGATTGGTTTTTAAGAAACTCATGCTGTGAACATATTCTGGAGATTGTTATTCATTTCCTCTCTTACCAAATAGTATGAAGTTGCACTGAGTTGATGAATGCACAACCATCAGATCCTTGTCTGTAAATAAAATCCACAGGTCTGGGACCCTTGGTCCAGGTCTTGGTCAATTAGTCTGGGTCTTGGTCACTTGGTCCAGGTTTAAGATTCTTGATCCAGGGCTGGGTCAATTAGTCCAGGTCTGGGTCACTTGGTCCAGGCCTCGATCACTTGGTCCAGGTCTAAGATACTTGGTCCAGATCTGGGTCACTTGGTCCAGATCTAAGATACTTGGTCTGGATTCGGGTCAATTAGTCCATGTCTTGGTCACTTGGTCCAGACCTCAGTCACTTGTTCCGTTATACATCTTCCACTTGTCTCACATTCACCCTGTGATTACATCATCTCTATTTTTAATTGCATGCAGCTTTTGCTCCGAAGGGAGGACCCCAAGGTGAGCATTTGTCCTAGCATGCACCATTATGTGTGACATTTTCCCAGCATGCATCAGTTAGTCTCTCTGGTGTAGGGAACTTATTTCTAAACATGTTCATGATTTATAGAAAGATTTGTTCTTATGCAAAAGTATATGAACAATATTCTTTTCCCCTAGTTTGTCTTTTGTACATCATTGGTTAAGAGCCCTCTATACACTGCACACTAGAGAGTTCTGATTTTGTGGTGTTTTTATGCAGATAGAGTGATCTGCCCTTTGATCAAGAGTAAGATAAATTGAAATGTAGAGTTTATTACTGAATTTTTGATCTAATCAAGCATTCATAACACTTAAATAGACCAAGATGAATAGATAGAACACTTCATTTGCTGGTATTTTGCCCACTTAAGTAAACAACAGTGATTTATGCTCATCAGTATTTCATTGTCTTTGAACATTTTTCCTGGGGGTAAATGCAAGGCACCCTATGTTGAAATTGTGATAGATAAGCTCATTACTTACACTTTTACACAGTATAATTTTCTTAGTGTCCAAAAAATCTTTTCCTTAAGTGTATAGAGGGTCCTTAAGTTAAAAGAATGTTCCTACTAGTTTATGTGTAGAATTCTAGGAAGTAAACACTATAGATCTGTTTGACACAATTTTTTCTTTTGGATTTTTTGTTACATTGGGTGGTTGTTTCTTCAACAGAAATAAGGCCAGCAATATTTATTCTATAAGTAGTTAAATGAAAGCATAATAAATGTGTTAATAACAGTAAATAAGGACATGGTAGCTTCATAAGAATTGTTTTATAAAATGATCAGGAATACCTGTAGTTGAACTTAGCACAGCTGCTACACACTTCAGTTTGCTGTGTACACATTGTGCTTTGATGACATGGTTTTGTATGATGAATATTCTGTATGAAATGTGTTGTACTGTATTATGATACACCTAGAAATGAAGTGCTGGAATCTCTGTTGTTTTTTTTGTTTTTTTTTGGTCAGAGTTTATGTGGTTAGACAACTTCCAAGAGATTTCAGAGTATTATGACACACCTAGAAATGAAGTGCTGGTATCTCTGTTTTTTATTTTTTTTATTTTTTTTTTTTTTTGTCAGAGATTATGTTGTTAGATGACTTCCAAGAGATATAAGAGTAAAATTCTTGTCCATACCAGAAGAATTTTAGAAGGTCATAATTAGCCAGAGTTGATTATTAGGATTATAGGATACATATACACGTGTATCAGGACACTGAACAAAAGTCATTTAGACAAGGTCAAGGTCACAGGGTTCAGAAGTGTCAAAGTCAGAAGGTCTAGGAAATTCTAGAAGATAAAATTTAGTATTGCCTGAGCATCAGGTTGTCAGGTGTTTTTAGGTCACCTGAGTCACTCAGGTAATCTATTGCTATCTGTTTTTGTCCACTGTTTGCCGTGTGTTAACATTTGAACATTTTCAGCTTGTTCTGTGGAACAGCTGAACCAGTTTCAACCAATTTTGTCAAATAGCATCTGTGCATGAAGGGGAAGAAAAACAAGAGAATTCCATGGTCCCTACCCACCTGGAGCCTGAGTGTAGGGGATAAAACCATAAAAAATAATACAATCTTGAGAAATATTCTTTACTGTGGACATCGAGCAGTCAGTGTATTTGTGTAATTGTGAACCATTTATCCTTTACAGGGTTATTATACTCTGACATGTGACCTTTAAGGCCCTTGGGCCTCTTGTTTTAGTTACTAAAGCTGTTTTAATGTATGTCATTTGTTAAGTTGTCTGACATCTGTCCCGTTAGGATAGTTGTATTTGGTATGAATTGTAGTAAATGACTTTACTATTAGCTAGGTAGCTAGTTCAGTAGTTTTTAGTGAAAGGTTTACAGGTGCTATGAATGTGCACACAATTAGACACCATTTTGTTGACATGAAATATTTCTCATTTTGTGCTATTGTATGAGGTATATGTTTTAGATCATAAGCAGACATTTGTGCAGTGCATACAAGTCTTTTTAATAATTATTGTAATCTTTACAAACATTATTTTGTGCTTAATTTTCATTATTATGGCCTGTGTTTGACTGTACGTTGTATTGGGAAGCTGCCATGATGCTAGGGTCATATTTTGCTGGGACTGTGCTGTTAATTTAGTGCCGACACGATTTTTGTGCTCACTGTGTGATGTTTGTTGTAGGATCTGTCACGGGCACATCCCCCACTAACTCTTTGAGCGGCCTGGCAAGTCTACAGACCCTTGGTAACAATAATTTTGCCTCGGTGTCCCCGGGGGTCACGTCTAATGGACTAGGGGGTTCTTCGGCCCCCGCGGGGATGGATGCCCTTAGCCAGGCCTATACTGGGATCCAGCAATACGCAGGTTTGTCCAGTTTACTCTCTCCCGCAGGAAAAGGTTGGTGGATTTTTTTATTTCAGGAGTGTGGCCGCTGTGTTGTGTTCCTCGTGCTTCGATGACAGTCTTCTGATGGAGGCAGAGTTATCTTCCCTGACCCTAAACTAAATCATGTCAGACAACTCTTTAATGTAATATTGTTATTTCATTCAGAACTTGGCTTTAAAATTTAAGCATTTGTCTGCCATGAGTTCCCGTTTTGTAGATGATGATATAAATATTCTTCAAATAAAATGGCATCATTTTGACCATATTTTTTGACTTTGTTCAATACTGGTACACTTTTTTTGTCTCCTGGCTCTGAAGATTCGGAAGAAGAGAGATAACTCTGTTTCCTGTGTTGGTGTACTGGACCCTGGAGATTTTCTCTTTGTTTTTACAGACCCACTAATGTGATGTTGGTTGCTGCTTAGACACTGTCTACTGGAGTGCTTTAAATTAATGACAAAATACTTTTAAAAAAATAATTTAAGAAAGTTATATTTATTATTTGGGTGAGAAAAAAAAATGATAATTTAGATTACAATTTTACTCTAGTCAAATTGAATTTTACTGAATGTAGATCGTCAGATAGTTGAACATTCCAGTGTTCAGTGATGTTTGGAGAGAGACCTATAGTGTTATTTATAGCCGATGTGAAAGTGTTATTTATAGCCGATGTGGTAGTGTTATTTATAGCCGATGTGAAAGTGTTATTTATAGCCAATGTGATAGTGTTATTTATAGTCGATGTGATAGTGGTGTTACATTTGTATATCTAGTGTATCAGATTATGAACTTACAGTACCAACCAGACCCAACCTGACACCTAAGCAGTCCCAGAAAGCAGTCCCCGGGACTGCTTTGGGACCGCTCTGGGACTGCTGTGGGACTGCTCTGGGACCGCTATGGGACTGCTCTGGGACTGCTGTGGGACTGCTCTGGGACTGCTATGGGACTGCTCTAGAAAGCAGACCCAGCAGTCCCAGCAGTCCCTCATGCATGAAAAAGGTTCTGAGTGACATGATAGCTCCGCCCCTTGTGTATTCTGAATTTGCAGGCTCCCTGTTGTTGTTTTGTTTACTTTCAGCAGAGAGGTGTTAAAGATAAAGAATAAAAATACCAAGGATTTCTTACAACATTTTAATAAAAAGAGATAGATATACATGTAATTACTAAATGTCTTCAAGGGCTGTAAATTTACACAATTGTAGTCTAGAATTAATTTTAAAAATGAAATTAGTTAAAAGTGAAGTCAGGAGATGATTTTTATCCCTTGAATTAAACTTTAATACAGGTGTTTGAAAAAAAGATATCTCTAAGGCCTGTTTAATTAATTAATGCTAATTAAAAGTTTTATACAGGTGTTTGAAAAAAAATATCTAGGCCTATTTAATTAATTAATGTTGTCAAGTTACGGTATGTACTCAAAGTTTGCATTAGCACTATTTAAAAAAAAAAACAAACAAACTTGTCATTACAATAAGATATTCAGAGGGACGTACTGTACTGGATTTTTTTTTAACTTGAAAAAGCTAAAACCATGCTAAAAAAGAGCATTCCATGTTATTTTTTTACCGCCCTCAAATAAAACCTAATAATTTATTAAATGACCATGAAATAAAATTATTCTACCATTCTTCAGTCATTTAAACAATTATATTTGTGAACAATTACTGGGGGATCTATTTATGAATTTGTTTTTGATTTATAAACAAGTTATTAAAAGAGTAAATTTATAAACTTTTTTTAAATTATTGGGAATTGTGACTAATTTCTTATTTGTTTTGTTTGTGTTTTCCTGGCCGATTAAGGTGGAATGCCACACCAACTTTTTATTTTATAGATCTTTGAGTCATCCTTTTTAAACAATGGTTTCAGCATGGAAAGGCCGATATTAGCTCTTAATTATTTTATATGAATTTTTTTGTATTTTTTCAAAGAAAATGATAAAAATTATTTATACCCAAATAAAATGTTTTTGAGTTAAAAGTTTGCTATAAATGAATGCATCATATGAATATCTAATAAATTATGTAAAGAAAGGCTGGTAAGACTTTTTGATTTTTTTTATAAAAAATTATTTATGAAAATAAAACACATTATTTGTGAATATTTTTTAAACCTATGGTTAAAAACACCATAAAACTAGTTATAACTGAGGACAACATGTTTGTCAATCATATTTTAAAAAGAAATTGAAACGAAATTGAGAAATATAAGAGAAATTAATTTTTTTAATATTTGAACCTAACCCGATCAAAATTAAACTGATCCCGATCAAAATTAACACAAAATGAATAAAATGCTAATTTATTGCCTCTTCATGTATTTACAATGAAGAAATCTATTTTATTGTCAAGTTCAATAATGTTTTAACACTTATTACACCTAATCAGACTAGTGTTCTTGGGAAAATGTTATTTATTTCCAATAATTGTACAATTATGGTTGGGATCGGTTTAATTTTGATCGGGATTGGCCAAAATAAAAAAAAATTAATTTCTCTAAAATTTGGCCATTTCGTTTCAATTTCTTTTATAAATATGATTAATGAACATGTTCTCCCCAGTTGTGGCTGGTTTTAAGAAGATTTTAACCACAAGTTTAAAAAACATTCACAAATTATGTGTTTTATTTTCATAAATATTTTTTTATTTAAATTTTTTTAGTATCTTTACGGCTTTTCTTTACATATTTTATTAGGTTTTCATGTGATGCATTTATTTATAGCAAATTTTTTACAACAAAGCATCTAATTTGGATGTAAATAATTTTTTTTATTTTCTTTGAAAAAATACAAAAAAATTCATATAAAATAATTGAGAGCTAATGTCGGCCTTTCATTGCTGAAACCATTGTTTAAAAAGGTTGACTCAGAGATCTATAAAATAAAAAGTTGGTGTGGCATTCCTCCTTAATAAAAAGCAATACAAATGTATAAAATGGTGTCAACACCTGAGGTTTCAATCGCCTTCGGGCATGATTAGCAGAAAGTCAATGCATGTTATTTGGGTACCAGTGTTACACATCACTGAACATGCTGGTCAACAATGGCACTAATTTCAATCTATGTACTGTAAAAAATCTTCGTTTATATCGGGATTTATTAATTTTGAACATAATCTGAGGGTTCCATTCGCGTGATTTACAGATGTACACTCAAACATTTATATAATAAAAGTATTATTGTTTTCTGTTACATAGATAATCTAACGATAATTAAATTGGCAAGTCAGTGAAAATAATCATGACTGAAATATAATACTCATAGAATTTTTCAAAAGCTCCAGTACTTAAGAAAACTGCATTCAGAGTATAGTATGGAAACCGGCCTTGCTTTATAATTATAAGGTCTATTTAAAGCTAGTTTTGATAGAAAATAAACAACTCAAGTTTAATTTTCTATAAAAAAAATAAATAAATAAATAAATAAATATGGAAACCGATATCAATCACAGTAAATTAAGAAATTGATTTTTTTTTTGGTGAAAAATTAATATGTCACAAAACTGTGTTTAAATATTCATGTTATTAGTAGGTGTGACCGTCTTCTTTGTTCAGTATTTATTATTTGTTTCTATACGCGTAGTGTGAATTTCTTAACAGTTCAAAAATGACTGTCGCATGAGAATTGATACTGCTCAGACAGAAATGGATCATCAATTTCAACTGCCTTTTATAGTTACATTGTTTATTGGTAATCTCATTTCTGAGTAAGCTCCGCCCATTAAATTAATAAACCCCGCCCACTGGGACTGCTGGGACTGCTTTCTGGGACCGCTGGGACTGCTTTCTGGGACTGCTGGGACCGCTGTGGGACTGCTCTGGGACCGCTGTGGGACTGCTCTGGGACTGCTTTAGCAGTCCCAGAGCAGTCCCAGAAAGCAGTCCCCCGGACTGCTCTGGGACTGCTTTGTGTCAGGTTGGGTCTGGTTGGTACTGTATTACATTTTCAACGTGAAATACTGTATTTTATCCATTGATTAAACATGTTAAATTTAATATTTTTACAGACATTATTTTCATTGTGAAAATAACAAATGTGTTATTTTCACAAGGATGATAAGGAACTTGCAGCAAAACTCAGTCTCCTACTCTTCGTGGAGATTATTAAAGAAATTATTCAATATAGGAAGAATAAATAAACCATTTCGATACACTTACTAAAACTTCCAAAGTGTTTTCTAATTTTGTTTACCATTTTCTACTCACAATCGCGCTGCTATGATGTCTTGCAACCTACGAACAACGCGTTGTTACAGAATGACAATTAAAAAAGGGGGGGGGGGGACAAGAAAATGTAATAAATAGAAAATTCAATGTATTGTAGTTGGATATGGAATTTATTTCACTCATGAGACAGGATATTCTGATAGTTTCACTCATGCATTGCACTTACGAAAATAACAAAAAAATATGCCCTAAGTAATAAATTCCATATCTTCTTACAAAACATTAAATATCATGTATATATATTTAATAGCTTTTGACTGGATACATCATCTTGTCTGTTTGCTTGTTCGTATTTTTTATATCTTTCCAACTTGTATTTTATCCTTGGAGATCTCTTATCATTTTAAAATTGAACAATTTTGCCTGCTTTTGGATCATAAGTGTACTTTCACTTTTACTTGGCTTAAAAACAAGGCAAAGAAAGTCATCAAACCAAAGAACTACTTTATATGAGATTTTCTGTCATCCTCAAAATTGATAAAGAATAGGTTACCTAAACTCTTAACTTTGATCCTAGTACACAAGTAACTTTACTCTGCATCAATAACAAAGAACTAGTTCATAATAAGTCAAAACAATTCAATATTTTCTTTCACCTATTATAGTTTGATTTCTCAAAACTTAATATGAATAGTGATTTCTAGGGGGTTCTAGTAGAGACATTTTTTTACGAAAAGATTAATTTTTTTCCCATTTCGAGGAAGATAACTGAAAGTTCGTAATAGATGTTTTTTTATTTCTCAGGTTTTCCATCAAAAGGTGGGGTAACCATGGTAATTGCATGCCTGATTTTTATTGTTAAGGAATTGTTTAATTTCACTAGAGTTTACTAAGTACCACCAAATCAATTGTTTAAAACTTAAAAAACTAAGTAATAAAGTAGTTTATATATAAGACTACTTTGATTTTGTTTTTCTTCCTTTAGGATATGAATAGTTCTAGCAATTATTTTCATTCATAGGACTTTATTTCTCATACAGGGAGATGTTGTTTCCCAAGGTCAGAAGGGAGGTGTTATTGCCCTTTATTAGGAGGGAGGTGTTATTGGGCCCCATTAGGACGTCGATGCTTTTGTATTCACTTGTTGTACCTATTTACATCTTGTGTTTACTGGGAATCAGAAAATTCTGCTGACCTAGTTTGTTCTCAGATTCGTTCTAAATTTATGAATTCCAGAGAAACACAAAAATTAATTAATTTAAAGAAGGAATTATAAATAAATCAACAATTTCAATTTTAGTTGGGGGATATCTAGTTTTGATGTAACTGAAAGATTCTAATAAGGATTCTTAGGATCAAACATATTTAACTTTAAACTATAATTATGATATATAAATAAAATACAATATTGGTATTAATGATAGAATTCAGCAGAATTCTTCTCGGTCCCAGTTCTGTTGTTAACTAGCCACGTGTTGATTGACACTGCATTATATGCACTCATGACCTCTGTATGACCTTTGGTTGTTATTAGTTACCAGGGGCTCCTCAGGGATTGAGGGCCCAGACAGAAAACTGTCACATGCTTTTTGTTCAGTGTTTGTGGGTGATTTGGGATTATATTGAGTTTTCTTGTCCTAATATTTATTTTTTGGATGAAATCTGATCTTTATGAATTTTTAAGTCAGGTGAAGTAATGTTGGTAATGTATGTTTAAACCCTTTTATTTTACAGCATCATTCCCAAATGCATTCAACACTCAAGCAGCTCAACAGATCCAACAGGCCCAGGCCAATTCACCAGCGGGGAAACAGACAGAGGGTAAGACAAACACAAAGAAAAAGTCATTACAGAGACACACAGACAGAGAGACACACAGACAAAGTCATTACAGAGACACAGACAGAGAGACACACAAAGTCATTACAGAGACACACAGAAATACAGAGTCGCTCAGAAACACACACAAACAAAGTCATTACAGAGACAAAGACATACAGAGACACTCAAAAACAGACAAAGTCATAACAGAGATACACAGACAAGCACAGACAAAGTCATAACAGAGACACAGAGTTATTGTACACATTTGATAAGCAGTGTAAGAATAACACAAAGATACTGCAGAAAAAACAGATTTAGTCAATACAGACACATTGACGGAGTTCCAATACACCTGTATCCAGAAATTATTGACACACAAACTTTATCAGGCACATAGAAGACAGAAATACAGAGGTTGTTACAATCAGGGATTACAGACACAAAGCTAAAAACAGGCTCCCTACAGAAAGCAAAAGAGATATGTGAAGCCTCTTGGAGGAAAGTCTGCACAAATTAAAAAATAAATGCTAACCAGCTATTGATGGTAGGGGTCTACAAAGTGAAAAGGGTTTGCCAGTCAGATATACCTGAGTGGATCATTTTTCTGGGCTTTTATACTAATGATTCTTTTCAGTATTTTAAGATTTCTGATTTTTTCTACCAGGTCCAGATGGTGCTAATCTGTTTATTTACCACCTTTCCTCGTCTATTTTTCTACCAGCCCATTTCATGAGATGTTGTTAACTTGTTTATAGGATGATGAGATTTCTTTTTTTTTAGGCCAAGATGGTGCCAATTTGTATATATTTACCACCTTCCCTCATCTATTTTTCCACACCCAGATGATGTTAACTTGTCATTTACCATCTTTTTCCAGATCCAGATGACCGTAACTTTCCCACATCTATTATTTCCAGGGCCAGATGGTGCTAACTTGTTTATTTACCACCTTACCTTGTCTATTTTTTCCAGGTCCAGATGGTGCTAACTTGTTTATTTACTACATTCCCTGATCTATTTTTCCGGGCCCAGTTCATTCTAATTTGTTTATTTACCACATTCCTTGTCTATTTTTCCAGGTCCAGATGGTGCTAACTTGTTTATTTACCACATTCCCTGGTCTATTTTTCCAGGCCCAGTTCGTTCTAATTTGTTTATTTACCACATTCCTCGTCTATTTTTCCAGGTCCAGATGGTGCTAACTTGTTTATTTACCACCTCCCCCAGGAGTTCAGTGATCAGGATCTGATGCAGACATTCTTGCCTTTTGGAACCGTAATATCAGCCAAAGTCTTTATAGATAAACAGACAAACCTCAGTAAATGTTTTGGTCAGTATTTACTCTGTCACACATGTCTCACAATGCTCATTCATCATTATACACCCTGCAATAGAGTTGTCTGTCCATCCCTCTGTCAGTAGACTGAAGGTTAAGCTTAGCTTTAAGATCATTCTCTGCCTTGTTTTGGGAAGGGGGGGGGGGGGGGGATTATCAGTCTCATATGGACAACTCTAGATTATATACTTGTCATTTTCTAAAAAATATTCACAATGTATGCAATCAAGAATTAAATACATTATTTCTGCAATTTTATGCGTCTGTCCAAGTTTGTAAGGGATTACATCATGTCTATTAATAGGGTTTGTGAGCTATGACAATGCTCTGTCGGCCCAGGCAGCCATACAAGCAATGAATGGCTTTCAGATTGGAATGAAGCGACTTAAAGTTCAGCTGAAGCGACCTAAAAGTGACAGCAAACCTTACTAGAGGGACACACTGTGGTATGTACATGTAATACAGACAGACACTCGGACAAAATTTACTGAGACTGTGGTAGGTATTTTAATGACAGTACATTTCAAATAAGAACCAGCATTTTATGTAGATCAGGTAAGTAAAAACTAACTTTTCTTTTTGTCTGTGGGTAATCACATGATCACAAAGAACAGCAGCCATTGGTCGATTCACATCCACACATCATGGTATCAGCTACAGTGTATATGCTGAATACTGGTTGACTGGTAGGTGGCACATCGAGGGGATGAAGAACAGCCATCAGACGTACTGGAGATTGTACACAAATGACCACCTTTGACTTTTCAGTGTGTGTTGTGGTTAACACTCTGTTGTGACCCCCACAGTTCCCCACCCCTCCTGCCTGACCAGTGGATACCCAGGTGTCCAGTAGTTGACCACCCTGTTTGTTGTTTTGTCTGTGAGACTGTCACTTCTCCAAACGCCAACTGTTTGTTGTTGTCAGAGTATTGACAAATATCAAAGTACCGAATGTACTGTAAGTTAGTCATTTTATGAGAAAAACAGATGCTGAATTTGTACAACAAGCAGTTGGTTTTGTCTTGTAAATGTAATCCTTACCTTGCCTCATTCCATTGTCTTTATCTTCTTTACATGTTTGTCTGTGTTGATCAACATTGTTTTTAAACATCTGTAAAACCTCATCTTTTCATATCCTTGTTATCAACCAAACCTGCTCCGAATAAATGTTATAATTTTTTAATTTAAGGTTCCATTTGTTGATGCTTAAAATTGATTCCTTAATATATTCCAGACTTTAAAAATATATTTATCTTCATTCATGGGAGTGGTGAATTTAAGTCATGAAATTAATCAACAGATTCCTAAATTATATATGTTAAAAGCCATTGATTCAAGAGTATTAGAGATGTAGCCATTGAAACAATAAAATGTTTGTCACTGAATTTTACTTGGGATTTATTTTCATGGATGGGTAGGGAGTATCATCTCATTATTAAAGCTTCTAATACCAACTTTGGACTTTCAAGCAGCATATTTTATTGCCAGAATTTCCAGGCAATAATGAAATGGTGCACTTATGATTGACCAATCAGATCATCTTAAAGTAACATTTATTCTGAACCCAATTTTGGTAAAGTATAAATATAGATTAACAGGATGTTGTATTTCCTATGTATCAAAAAAAAAGGAAGTCCAAGCTTGATTTGTAGAAGCCCTGTTCATTCATTGTCTGGTTGTTATTTCTCTACACCACCAGAAAGTGTGGCTCTACACCACCAGAAAGTGTGGCACCCGATTTACTGTTCTATTACTAACACTGATTGAATGGAAACATAGTTACTGGCCAATAATTGTTGTTTTGTTGCTTACTTGGAGTGCTGGAATGAGTGACACAAAATTCCCAGGTGTCCAGTACCTGAAGATTCTCTTTTATAATTACATTGTAACACATTGTAAGGAAACTGTGCCCTAATCTTTGTATACTGTACACGTATTTGATGTTTTAGTAGATGTTTTAGTAGTGGTAGTTGTTTAAAGCTGTGTATAGAAAGCACGATCTGTTGTCCACAGACTCAAACAATGAAATCTTTTTATTCAGTTTAAATGATAACTGTAGAAGACATTTATCAAACTCCAAGGTACATGACAAAAACAGGATCTCTAATTTTTTTCTCTCTGCTTATTCCCTATGATTTGTAGAATTAAAGTTGTATCTTACACCATCTAGGTTTCATTAGAATCCACTTCTTTTTGAGAAACGGACAGGTGCTTGTCACCACTGTTAGGTGCTTGTCACCACTGACAGGTGCTTGTCACCACTGTTTACTAAGCTTTAGAAGCATTAAAAATTATGAATTATCTGAGACATTAAAGACACTTCCCAACATGGATGTACTCCAACTTCAAATTTCCAGCATAAAAAGATTAAGTATGCCTGAGAATTATAAATCATTGCTCTTGGCTTGCATTTCTCTTGTAGGATAAAGTTGATTTAGCAACACACACTATAATTCCGAGTTGTATGAACTATTTCAAGGTTTTGATAACTACCTTTAAAACCGCTTAAAAACTTCCTAATTATGAGTCAGAATTTGCTTAAGGGTACATGTATAATTGTTTATCCATAAAAGAATGTACCTTCCTATTTAAATACATGCATACTTTGTGTGTCCTTCAAATTTCTGCACATTCGGTGGGGGAGATGTCTGTGTTTAATTGCATTCCTTCATTGGTGTTTTCATTGAAATATTTTCTCTCTTGGTGTCTAGTGAAGTAGGCACTTTTTTCATCATTTAAATTGCACCTGCAGGGATATTCTTACTCATATTTTTAGAACACTTGCTAGAAAATAAAACTATTTTATTAAACTGACAAATTTCATTTTAAACTTCTGTCAAAACTTTTGAAAATTACTGACTTTTTACCATTCAAAGTTAACTGCATTTTGATGATAGGGAGAGGGAAATCCCTGATACTTTGTCTGTGTGTGACACTCTCTGGTGGTGACCTTGTTTAATTCCTTTGCTTTCTTCTACGTAGATTTTGACGTCTGACTGTCTCCACGTGGCGTTCTCTTCATGTTACCTTTTTGTCGCTCGTTGTGTGCCCGGAGCTTTGTGTCGGCAGGAGTTACTTCCCTTGGCCTCAACCACAGGGACTGTTCATTATTTTGTATATTTCCTGGTGTGGCCTGTTAGAAACAGGAAGCTATAATTTTTTTTTAATCTCTTTTTTTTTTTAATTTTGTTTTTGTTGACTCAAATAGTAATGTGCTTCATTTTAATCAGGATTGTATACCAAAGATACATTTATTTTTTGTATGTAATCAAAAAGAAAAGCTGATAATTTTGTTTCCATGACAATATTGTACATAGTCGGGCTGGGTATGTGGTGCCAGCTTTTAGTGCTATATTTAGGTAAGTTGTTAGTGTGTATTGCCGCGCATTGTAAATGCTAGGACAAGATATGCCTCAATTATCAGCTGATGTATGCCCTCCGCTAGTCAAATCATGATACTCCATGCTACCACTACTACAAACCAACCTACTTACCCCTCCCCCTTCTATTCCCCAAAACAAAGTGCTCTGAGGATGTCAGAAAGCATGGTAAAAAAAAACAAACAAACAAACAAACATTTTAGGTAATATTTATGCTCCCTGGCTCATCATGGGTTGATTTGCAAAGTTAAAAAAAATATTGAAAATAAAACATTGTAGTCATCAAACATTGAAAATATCTGGTACTCTTAGGAAATATGCACATTTTTAATTTTTTCCTTTTCTTTCTTTCTTTTTTTTTTTGGGGGGGGGGAGAGAAGAGAGGGTGCTGAAATTGATCTTCTCAAAAATATTGATGAAATTTGTCCACATGGTTGGTTTGAAGTACAGAGTAAGCAAAAAAAAAAAAAACAATTATGTATTATTTTTTGTTGCCTCTCTCTAAATTTCATTTTTATTAGAAGCAGTTTTGTCTTGTTGCAGCTCAATAAGTACATAATAGAATTTTTGAATCAAGATCAACTTGGCACAGTGTAGTATTTACTCATATGAATATATTTATGTTTCAAGGTCATTCCTAGAAAAATGTCCCCAGCTCAATAAATATGATTAAGCTATATAAAATAATACCCAGAATTCTTACTAAAGCTGTTAATTAATCAATTTTCAATTTGGAAGCCAACAGCACCCTTTGTTTTAGGAGAGTAATTTTTCTGGGAGTGACCTGTATGAGCCTCGGTTACATAACCTTTGTGCACTTAGGTTAGTAACCTTATATTTCTCTGGTCTTGTGACCTATTTGTACTAGGGTATTAGCTCCTTGAGGAGCGTTTATAGACCCCCTCTCAGGGCTTAGTCAAGTGTACAGTTTAGACTAGCGTCCCTGTGGTTGGGATATTTTATATGTATGTAGCTTATTACATGTACGAGAAACAGATTTTTATGGTGAGGTTTTTTAAATACAGAAAGACAGCTATATATTTTTTTTTCTTTGTGGTCAGTGTTTTTGCAGTGTTTTCAGTTTTGTTTTCAAACAATGTTATTGTTATGGTTTTGTTTGTGAAGGTTTCAAAAATCAAAAGATTGTTTAGGAACTTGTTATTTTTACTATATATTATCTTGTTTGTTTTTAATGGTTCACAATGAGATGTTTTTACTGTATTGAGCACTAGCAGCATTAGGGAGCACCTGTTGGTCCCCCTTGCAACATTAGGGGGCACTGGTTGGTCCCCCTAGTTTTTGTTTGGGTTGTATTGTTTCATTGTCTGTACTCAGAACTCACATTTTTAACTGAGTGAAATTCTTTGTTTGATGTTAACCCTAACTTACAGGCAGTGCTGTTACAAACAAAATTCATGTATAGATTTATTTTTATTTTCGTACAAAATAGACATCAACAAAATCGCCTATTAAGAGTCAGATGCTTACTGTATGCTGTCAGTTCTCAGCAATAATTCATGTTTAGTATGTGCCTTACTGCAAATGTGGAACAGATTTGTCTAAGGTGTCAAGTATATATATAGAGTTATATATTTTTGGTTTATCTTGTTAAAGAAATACGCTCTAGATGTTACCATGGTAATATGGAAATCATCTTTTATCATTTAAATGAGGTAAATAAAGCTATTAGGAAACCAGTTTATTTGGGAACCAGTCAGAATATGATGACCCTGGAACAGGGTTCAAGGTTCAGGGGTCACTAGATCGTGTTCTCTGTATTAACCCTCCTAATGTCTGTTAACCTCGCTAAAACTCAGGAATTCATGTTAAGTGTTACAACTCCTTTGTATACCTGTTCACATTAAGCTAGTCAGAAATATTAAACTTTCATTAAATAACAGAAAAAAAAAATCAAAAATCACATAGAGAGTTATTTAGATATTATATTCATCAGAAATCACCCTAGGACATTAAATAATGTGGTATTAAGTTTTACATCTAAATAATGTGGTATTAAGATATACATTGTTTAAAACACGGTGAATATTGATTTTATTTTTATTGCTCAAAATTTGTTCTTTGTGGGTTTAATTTTTATGTCTGTTTTTTTTTTTCTTTTATTTTTATGGCGTTTTCAAACTACGAAGGATGTTATACATATCAAAAGATTTTAACATGCCTTGTTAAGATATTATTTAAAGAGGTTACTCATTTTACTAATATTGCTCACATCAAAAAGAAAAAAAAAACCAAATTAGATTGCCAAAGAGTATTCATTAGGGTTTGTTTATTAGCTACCCCATGACATTTGCATGCTGGCTGTAGGAATAAAATAGGATCTCATTTGACTAGTGTGGCCATAAAGTTACCAGAATCATTAACTGAGAGTCGGAGAAGAGACTATTATTGGATATACTCAACTCTGTTCTCCTAGTCAAAATATAATGAAAAATCAGTATTACCATGAAAAAAAAAACTGTCAAAATTTTGCATCTCATAGAGACACAATAACACTAAAAAACTATTAATTCATGAATAGAAAAATTTCCCTATTCAGTTTGTTACCAAATCATAGAAAAAAATGTCCATATGGATTTTATAAAACATAGTTTCAAGATTTTTTTTTTTCAGTTCACTGCAAGAAAATTGTACTCATTGTCTGTCATGTGACCAGAAGATCAGTCATGTGACTGTCACATGATCTTGTGTTAGTGTTGTGATTTGGCTGTGTACATTATGATATGCCAATAAACAGTTAAATAATGATCAGTTGTTGTCATTGACAATAAGTTAATGTAGCCTCATAGGAATGGTACATAGATTCCTACAGCAGTTAAATAATGAACACTCCGTTGTTGTCATTGACAATAAGTTAATGTAGCCTCAAAGGAATGGTACATAGATTCCTACAACAGTTATATAATGATCACTCAGTTGTTGTCATTGACAGTAAGTTAATATAGCCTCAAAAGAATGATATATAGATTCCTACAACAGTTAGATAATGATCCCTCAGTTGTCATTGACAATAAGTTAATGTAGCGTAAAAGGAATGGTATATAGATTCCTACAGCAGAAGAAAATTTACTCTGTCCATACTTTGGTGTACCAGTTAGATATTATGGCATAATCTTAAGTTGTCCACAAAAAAAAAACGGGGGTGATAGATTAATTTCTAATATTTTTTAAGGGGTGGGGACTGGTAAAAAAAATATGTCTATAAATCTTGTGGGATGATAATTCTTAATGAAAAATGTAGATATAAGGAACAGTGATCGATCTCAAAAACATACAATACAAACCTGTGAAGAGGGCATAAAACACGGACCCCTGGAAATTCCAGAGGTGAGATAACCAGTCACACCCGCCTTGAGCTCCATGTATTGATCAGGTAGACGGAATATTCCGTAGTCACATTTAGTATGAAATCAAAGGCCTTACAATTAGTATGAAATATGTCGGTATGATCCAGTGATAGGTTATAAATTTGCTTACAAGGTCATTATATCGACCATAGAATTTACCAATTGCTGACTTTAAACGAGGTTGTTGAAATCCCCTTAACATCAAATTATCTGGCAGTAGCCTATCTCTGTTTAAAAGTTTATCATACTCGGAGCATGCTCTTGAGTATCGAATAAGTTGGGAAATGTAAACACTATATGCAGGCGTTAGCGGAATATTACTACATAAATGGGGGAAAGTCAACGATGGGAAATCTAAAGTCATCTCGTTTGTCAGTTAGTTAGCCTTTATCGACTATAGTCAGTAAAACATCCAAATATGAAACAGATGTGGCAGACTCTGTGGTGTCTTTTATTTCGAGTTCATCGGGATATATCGAATCGACACATGATCGGAAGTATCTATAATAATTATGAAGAAGTTTTTGAATACTGTTTCATACAGGGATATAAAAACAGGTCGGCTAAGAAAGGAGGACAATTAGTGCCCATCGAAATTCCAACAGTTTGTTGGAAGACCTGGTGTCCAAAGACTACATAAATGTTGTCAATGAGGAACTCCAACATGCATCCTTTTAATATCAACTTCAGAGTACTTGTGTATACAATCAGACTTAGAACTTGGTTGTGGAACACAGTGCAAGGTGCCCAGCCACTTCTACATTTAACCCAGGAAGAAAGAACCTCAGTTTGTGTCACCACTGTAAGAAAATAGAACACGGGACAAGTAACCCAGTAAATCAGCAATATTCATTGTAAATAATATTAATTCCCAGTGTTAATCATAGACTCAAGTAGAGCCAGAGGAAAATTTTATTCATACTTGTCTAAATTAAGACCCTTTTCCCTTTGAAAACGAACCCTTAGGTTACACGTTACAGTAATAAATAAAAAAAAACGACCAATGAAAGAGAAAAGTAGGTAAATTGAACTCTGAAAACAAATGGGACCATTCAGGTACATGTATTTAACGTATAAAATCTCCGTACATTTTTTTTTAAACGCCTAGTGTCACTTCATTCTAAATACGCAGGCAATGTTTCGATAGAAAAATTCAATAAAATGTTAATTATCATGAGGCCATATTTCAAAATTTGTTTTGGTTGCCCTGGCTAAAAATGGCCCCGACTCAAAAACTTTTTTTAATTTCCCGGAAGGTTTTTTTTTTATGCATTCCAGAAAATAGATTTTGGAAATTCAGCATTGATTTTGAAATTTTCTTTGAAAAAAAACCTTGCCTATACCGATCGACCGACTCAATTTTTTCATCCCAAGTCGGGAGAGGGCAAGCAAACATTATTTTAAAGTTGGCCTGAAGAGATCAAATTATCTTTTCCTTAAATACTTGCAATTAACTTGAGTGAAATGTGAAAAAGTTTCTATAGTTTAATGATCTGGATATCGTCATATTTACATAAAAGTCCATTTGCCACTTTGAATCGGAACATAATATGCGCAGATCTGAAGGGTGTCGGATGGGTTTGGAATTCTTCCCCCTCCCTTTTTAGATCACCTGAGTCACTCAGGTGACCTATTGCTATCCGTTCTCGTCCGTCGGCGTGCGTCGTGTGTTAACATTTGAACATTTTTAGCTTCTTCTCTGAAACCGCTTAACCAATTTCAACCAAATTTGGCATATAGCATCTATGGGTGAAGGGGAACAAAAATTCTGAATTTCATGGTCCCTGCCCCCCTGGGGCCTGAGGGGTGGGGCTAAAACCACCAAAAATAATGCAATCTTTAAAAATCTTCTTTACTCCAGGACATCAAGCAGTCAAACTGTTGGCATCATTGTAACAAGCAATGAGCCCTCTACCAAAATTGTGAAATTCATGGCCCCAGGGTCAGGGGTTCTGGCCCCAGGGTGGGGCTATATAGATCATATAGTGAAAGTGCATTATTTCTTTGAAAATCTTCTTCTCTGCTCCTGGGTATTAAATAAAGTAACTTAGTACATAGTTATGAAGAGCAAGAGTGCCTCTTCCAAAATTGTGAAATTCATGACCCAAGGGTCAGGGGTTCTGGTGTTAGGGCGGGGCTCTATTGATTATATAGTGAAAATGCATTAATTCTTTGAAAATCTTCTTCTGTGCTCCTGGGTATTAAATAAAGTAACTAAGTACATAGTTATGATGAGCAAGAAGTCCTCTTCAGAAATTGTGAAATTCATGGCCCCTGGGTCAGGGGTTCTGGCCCCAGGGTGGGGCTATATAGATCATATAGTGAAAGTGCATTATTTCTTTGAAAATCTTCTTCTGTGCTCCTGGGTATTAAATAAAGTAACTAAGTACATAGTTATGAAGAGCAAGAGTGCCTCTTCCAAAATTGTGAAATTCATGGCCCCAGGGTCAGGGGTTCTGGTGTTAGGGCGGGGCTCTATTGATTATATAGTGAAAATGTATTAATTCTTTGAAAATCTTCTTCTGTGCTCCTGGGTATTAAAAAAAGTAACTAAGTACATAGTTATGATGAGCAAGAGTGCCTGTTCCAAAATTGTGAAATTCATGGCCCCAGGGTCAGGGGTTCTGGCCCCAGGGTGGGGCTATATACATCATATAGTGAAAGTGCATTAATTCTTTGAAGATCTTCTTCTCTGCTCCTGGGTATTAAATAAAGTAACTAAGTACATAGTTATGATGACCAAGAGAGCCTCTTCCAAATTTGTGAAATTCATGGCCCCAGGGTCAGGGGTTCTGGTGTTAGGGCGGGGCTCTATAGATTATATAGTGAAAAAGCATAATTTCTTTGAAAATCTTCTTCTCTGCTCCTGGGTATTGAATAAAGTAACTAAGTACATAGTTATGATGACCAAGAGAGCCTCTTCCAAAATTGTGAAATTCATGGCCCCAGGGTCAGGGGTTCTGGTGTTAGGGCGGGGCTCTATAGATTATATAGTGAAAAAGCATAAATTCTTTGAAAATCTTCTTCTCTGCTCCTGGGTATTAAATAAAGTAACTAAGTACATAGTTATGATGAGCAAAAGTGCCTTTTCAAAAATTTTGAATTTCATGGCCCGAGGGTCAGGGGTTCTGGTGTTAGGGCGGGGCTCTATTGATTATATAGTGAAAATGCATTGATTCTTTGAAAATCTTCTCTGCTACTGGAGATTATTTAAACAAACTAAGTGCATGATTATGATAGGCAAGGATGCTTCTTCCAAAATTTTTAAATATGTGGCTTCAGTTTTTGGGGCTCTTGAGGAAGGGGGGGGGGGGGGCTCTATTGATTATATAGTGAAAAAGCATTAATTCTATTAATTAATCATTAATTAATCCTGTCTGCTCCTTAGCATTGAGCTGATAAATAAATTTCTTAGCTATGATGAAAATGGGAGCTTCGAACAGAATTTTTAAATCTTGTGGTCCTAGGGTCAGGGGTTCTGGCATAACGAGGGGGGGGGGGGGGGGGGGGGGGCTTTTGATAATATAGTGGAAAAGTGTTAATTCTTCGAAGTCCATAGTTATGATGATGAGGGTAACTCTTCCAAATCTGTAAATTTCTTGACCCTTGGTCTTGGGTTCTGGTGTTAGGGTAAGGCTTTGTTGAATCTGTAGTGAAAATGCATTGTACCTGTGAAATTCTTCTCTGCTTCTTGGCATATCGGAAGAAAACTGAGTAAAAGTTTAAATGATATAAGTAAGCGTATTTCTACCAGATTTTTGAACATCTGGACCATTTGTCTAAGCATTCTAGTCCTGGGCAGGCCTCTATTAATTTGTATTCTACTGAGAGAAGTTATTCCCCTTTTCCGTTCACTTTTGATAATTAATCACTGTAAATAATGTATTTGAAAGGTAAATAGAATAAAATAATTATGCAAGAATGTTTATCATATAATTCAAAAAGTATTTTCTTAGTTTTAATAATCAGGTAGACCTGTAAGTAATAGATAAATAAAAATGAGACAAAAATAACTTATCTTATTAAAAGTTCTTCCAAGACCATAAGAGAGGTCAATGCTAGAGGTTTTCCTGGATCTGCCCGTGTATCATATACAGTTTGAAAACTGAAACAGAGCTTTACATAATGATGTATAAATATCTCTGGGGATAATCACGAGGCTTTTAAATGAAAAGGAATACAATTACAAGTGACGTAACAGACGTATGTTTATTGATTATGTATACACAGTATATCATTATATTTGTACACCACATTGACAATAGTTTTTCGGATTATTCAAGCTATCCTACGACGACGGAGGAACCACTGAAACAAAAATATTTCCATTAAACAACAGATCTAAATATTGCAGGCCCAACCAAACAGAAATTGTATGATAATCCCTACCCCCCTTTCCCC